TTTTATTGAAAATTGTTAAAATTTGTTTAATTAAAATATAGTTTGGTATAAATGTTATTGGACGATGTATGGAGTTTAATACGCACCGCGCGAAAAGCATCATTTTTTTGAAAATTTATTTTATATCAAAAATTAACATTTGTTTAATTAAAATGTAAATTGGTATAAATGTAATTGGGAGACGTATGGGATTTAATACGCAGCGCGCGCGAAGCGCGCGCCTGTTATATATGCACTAGTTAATAGTAAATATCAAATATGATAAATAAAAAGAAGTATAAAAGCAAGGAAGTCAAAGCGTTTATTTATATAATGACATTTATAGAAACATTATTATAGAAAACAGACATTTTTATAGAAAAATATGTTTATTTACCGTATCAAGATTAACGTCGGGATTGAATTTGGCGCTGTATGGCTGTTCCGTGCTCTCTTGACTCTCTTTTATCATTTTTATTAACTTAATGCTTAGCGAGAGGTCGGGCGAGATGTCTAATGTTACGGTCGGTGCTGCGACGAGGCTGCAGAAGGGCAAGACGAACGCAATCATGAACGGCCATATGGTCAGTCGACGAATGATTGAATCGGTTATGAAAGGATTCGAATTGAATCGAGTACCGTGGATTTCTTTAATTAGGCGTGAAGACGTAATTATAGCGGAAGATCAAAATGAGAAGTACTCCGCGACTACGCGTTCTATTTACGTACAACATGAGCTCTTCATCTCTTTTCCTCATAGACTTTTCTGCACATTGTAGGGAACGCTGACGAATCGTTTATCAGAAAAAGTAGAACCAGTATTAATTATTTCATGATAACAAAAACTTCTTCATCACATGTAAAAATGCAAAATAATGGAGCACACGTATCAATCGTTTGCGCTAGACGTTTTAGCTGCTCTTTATGTTATATCGCAGCTTATTATTTCCATTTATTATATATAATTTATTTCCATTTTTTATATAATAAATATATTATATATATTATTATATTTATTATATATATATATATATATATATATAAAAAATTGGAAAGAAAGATTAGTTGTATACAATCAGAAGAATACGGACACAAATTTTTAAATTTGTATTCAAATAGTTTCAAATTTTCAAATTTTTCAAATATTTGTAATGTTATCTAATAAATATTTCAAATATTTGTAATTTTCAAATATTTGTAATGTTGTCTAATAAATATTTCAAAATTTTTGAAAATTTTGACGTGAAACGCTGTTGTTATCTGTAACTATAAATAGCTTATTGCTTTTTGTTATCACTTTTAATTGTGATATTTATACACTTTAAAAACGCTTCGATTTCTGCTTGCCTGCCCGATGACAGAAAATTAGTCATTGTTTTTGTTTCATGTTTCTGCCATATACCATGCAGTCGCTATAATTTACTTTTATTAACGCACTTTAACCCTAGACTACCACACCTGGGTAAAATTTACCCGGACCATTTTTGAAGTGCATGCCATTCCGACAAGGTTGAAGAAGTGTGCCGTGATGTGGGGGGAGGGGGGGGGAACTTACAAGTGTCCTCTACAATTTTCCATCATAAGCCACGTCATTCCACTTGGTATTGCCATTCCAGCCACGCGTAAATTTCGACAATCGTCTAGTTCACTCGGTCAAGTAAATGTTTTTTAAAGTGAAGCCATATGAGGTATTTTTCTTTTGAAAATACCACTCATATTCTTTTAGAAACTATGCTTTACTTTTTTTATTCGCCTCTGAAAAGAACTGCGATGTAAAAGAAAACTCAGCCTTTTTCGGAAAGCTGCAGATTTGCATTTTTGCAAATTGTTCATGTTCTTAAGATTTTTGAGTGTTGCTATCCATTCAGTCATTTTTCTTACTGTCTGGCGTATAGATTGAAAAAAAAGTTTCAAATCAATGCGTTTGAACAGAAGTTACGCAATAAAATATAGGTAGGCCGGGTAAATTTTACCCAGTGTGGTATAAGATTTGGGTGGCAAATATACGGTGTGATAGTCTGGGGTTAAAAGATTCACACTTGCAGAATATCGCCTCCGAATTTTTTCAGTCAGAATAAATTTACGAAATCTGATTTCAGTCCGTTTTGTTCTGAATTCTGATTGATTGAATTCTAATTTCTCCAAAAAAATTTCTAGTCTCCAATTCATAATTATCTTCAATTTCCAACACGTGTAGCATTGAAACGCGTACAGAAATTGCAACGAAAAGGACGAAAATTTAAGTTTTTAGTGAAGTTAATTATCTGCCAAAATCGAAACATTGGAAAAAAATGCCAGTGTTCCATTTCGATTCTCGCAGGTAATTAACTTCACTGAAAACTTAAATTTCTTTTAAATATTCTTTATATTAAAAATTAAATTTTTTTTTAATATTCTTTATATTTAAAAATTTTATTTTTCTTTATAAAATGTTTAATAAATGTTTAAATTTTAAAATTATGCAAGTAAAAATAAATTTACAATATTTTTTCGCAATTACAATATTTTATTCCATTCTTGATTTCTTTTATTTTACTTCGACAGATTTTTATTTTAATATATGCATGCTTACATTTCTATGCATTTATATCAGCGTCATTATTATCTAATCAAATTATAACTAATTGTAATTAATAATTAATAAAATAACTAATTATAAAATTAATTAATCGCCATTCTTTCGATATTAATAGCAATTAATTTTTTTTACTAGAAAATATTTTTATTTAATTAATGATATGTTTAATTAATGAGAAGATATATTTAATGTCTGTACAAATTGCTCGAATATGTTAACAATATTCTATATTAATAAACTTTTGCTCAATATTAAAAAAAGTAATCTTGCAATATTTTGTCATCGTTCCTTCTTCGTTAATAAGATTTACATGGCTTTAATATTAATTAATTTAATATCACGCGCATCAAATATATCTTGCAACTTCCGTTTTATTATGAATTTATTCTTTCCGGCTTTCGATCTGTAAATCGCGTCGAGTTTTATATCACTTCTTAAAAAATCAACGATCTTGACCTTTGTCAGTCACAACTCGGTACAAACATAAAGTGTTTTGGTAATAAAAAATTGTTTTGTCAAGATGACAGGGAACGATTGGCGGCTGCAAAGCAGATCGGAGCGAGCGCTCTCCGTAATTTTTTGTATCGAAGAATCACCCGAGCGCTTACGAAGTTCCGCTTTGTTGTCGAACGCGCCGATAAATACCGCGCGGCATCTCTACTTTAACCGTCGCAGCCCGCAGGCGACACACGACCCAACACGTGCTGGAAATCCTCGTTTGTCACGCGCCTTATCGCAAGACGGTCGATAAGTAGCGAAACTCGGATAGTGTAACTGCGTCACCTGTGTCGCCCGGTTATTACGACTGCAATTCGAGTAAGATACTTTCAAGTTTACGTTCCGTTCTCGACTTCGTCACCGATAACGCGCAATAAATAAATCCACGAGGGTGCCTGATACCGGTTAACCTCAAATCCTCGATCGGTTGTGCACAATTAGGGTGAAAAAAAAAACCGGTGACCCGGTATGGAATTACTAAAAGTAATTCCAGCAGCTGAAATTCTCACCTTTTATTTATATCTTGCTGTTTACATATTTTTAGCTGTATATTTTACTTATATTTTATATCGAAAGTTTTATATTTTTAGTCTTGAAAATTATATATATATTTTATAGTCGTGCATTAGAAAAAGAACTTTTGCTAGTGTCTAATAAAAAAAAAGAATGTTAATAAAACAATAATAATTTATTAGCAGAAATCCAATAAAATATCACAGTAGATTGGCAATTTTATTTGCGTCAAACTCATGTTTTGCAAGCAGAGCCCGCCAATATAATCTGAGAACAAAATAGAAATCCGAGCTATTATATCTGTTATTTTGTTGTTTATTTGAACGAAATATATTGTTCAAAGATTTATGAGAAAGAAACTTTTGCTCCATTTTTGCAATCAGCCTTCCATTATATTCTCTTAGCAGATTCTATTTTTGCTCCGGAATTTTGCCTGTTTGCAACAAGATACTTTACAAAATATGTTTCAAACAAATCTGTGTAGCTGTGTGTTTGGGATAATTTTACAAGAGCCGTTCTCTCTTCCAGTAACCGGAAATACAACGCGTCAGGATGAACGAAGTCACATTGCCACCCTCGCCAAACTGGTATTTGAGCAACATCCTTGCCTGCTCGAAACGCGGAACTATAGCATGGGGCGCGAGGAACTTCATCGTCATCGCCAAGCCGAAAGAGAACAATATTATGCATTACTCTATAATCAAGGACTACTTCAAGGACAAAGTAACCTCATTGGCGTTTTGCCCTAAGCTCGATGGTCCGGACGATCCGGAGTTAATAATCTGCGGCGGTGATGATTTCAAAGTCAGGGTTTGGAACGTGGATACGTTGGAGTTGGTAGCGGAGTTCTCTTTCGCCGATGTAAGTGGCGTAACGCGATAGAGAGCGGTTAAACGTACCTTTTAAATTACTCGTGTAACTCATGTCGATATGTGTTTATTAATGCAGGGAAGCAAATTGACTGCAGGGGTTGACTGGTCAGCCAAAGATAGTAATCTTGCATGTGCAGTGAGCTCCGATGGTTTTCTCATGTACTGTAACATACAGTACAAGACTTTGAAAATGGTATCTCTGGGCAAGCTAACCGCTACGTGCTTAGCTTGCTGCCCTCACGACGCTAGTCTAGTAGCGGTAGGTACTAAAAGCGGACTAGTTTACGTTGTTCAAAAGGACATGATATTGTATAAAATGAGGGGACACAACGAGGACATAGTTAGCTTATCTTGGTGCCCTTCAGACATGAATGTGTTGACCGGAGAGAGTAAGAGAGACTTGCTTTTAGCCTCTGGCGCAAAAGATAGGTGAGACAAAGCTTCCAATATGCATATCTCCTGTATCTTATATATTAAATTAATTGTATAATTTAAAATTTAAGCGTGAATATCGTTACATTAAAAAAAAAATACAAAAAACAGCTTATAAAAATTTGTTACTGTCAAATTTATCTTTTTTCCTATTCTCAGATATATATACATTTGGAGAGCTGGTAGCGACGGTAGATATGAAACTGTAATAAACCTGCCGTATACGCCGATCACGCCTGCCTCGCATAAGAGCAAAGTCAACACCACGAGCGGAACTTGGATTACGGTATGTTGGGTGGAGCCCAATGTGCTTCTGACCAGCTCCCTTTGGGGCGAACTTCTTTCTTGGAATCTTTCGACAGACAAAGACAAGCCCGAGTGTAAATTGTTCCATTCGTACCATAATAGAGGATTGTTTTCTATAGCTGCCGCACCCGAATACTGCGCGACGGCTCACGAGTCAGAGAGAGAATCCGAGTGAGTGAACGCTAAGTAAATAAATTACCAAATGTATGAAAATGTATGAAATTTCTTTTAACGTTATCCCAATGTACTTCTAGGCTCAAAGTCTGGTCTTTGGCGCAAGATCGCTGGGTTATATGTTGCAAACGCCAAAGCGATCTCGAGAGGTCGGTGACGTTGGAGTACAAGATTCCTACACAGGGAGGATTCGTCTACTGCCTGAGCGCTTGTCCCATCGATACCTCGCGCATCGCATTCGGCGTAGGAGACACGATGCTGCGTGTGTGGAACATGTCTGATCAACACACAACGACATTCGACCTCTTCATGCATTGGCAGAAGATAAAGGGAAAAATAAGAGCGGTAAGAAATTCTCGCGCGAGATGTCTGGGAGTTGTTTTTTGAAATATGTTTTTCGCGCGAAAAAATATTATGAATTGATGTCACAAAAATATATATTGCATCTAGATATCATGGTTCCCGGAGAGCGAATGCGTTCTCGCTTTTGGTACTGGAGAGGGTCGCGTTGGTGTGTTCGATGCAGTCGGAACTAACAAACCACCTACACTGTACAGACAATATCATAGAAATACCATTTACAAACTCGAATGGGCTCAACTTAAATCAGAATATTTTTTGTTCTCCTGCGCGGAGGGGGAGTTAATAGCGTACAAAAAATCCGCGCCGAACGATGGTAAGACGTTAATATTTATCGATTTGCCACATTGTTTGATTTACTGCAAATTTCTTTTTCAGAACCTATGTCTATAATAAAGAAAGGATGTTTGGAATTTTCTTGGAAGTCCAATTTGTGCTTAGCAGTTGCGTTAGATATCGGGTATATATATATATACATATAAAATATTTCTTTAAAAAAAAAAATGATTGAAGAAATGATTTAAACGCAGATCTTGTTCTCTTCTCAGGTCAATTTTGTTCTACGATCAGAAGTTCAGAAAACGCGGCAACTCGATACACATTTTAAGGAATGTGGTGAACTGCCTGGCGTGGCATCCCGAAAGTACAATGGCAGACAAATGGACATCGCCGATTGCCAACTACTTGGCAGTTGCCTCTGATTCGTCTAGCATAATGATATTCGATATGTCAAAGCTGATAAAGGAACTGGAAGAGACGGGTACCGAGGACGAAATAAAAAACGATGAGGACTGCACGATGCACAAGAGAGTAGCAACATTAAACGGACACTCCGAAAAAGTGGTGTGCTTAGCTTGGAGTCCGCATTTCAGTGGGCACCTAGTGTCCGGTAGCTACGACAACATGGCACAGGTCAAATATACATATGCATTATACAATATCGTTCAAGCAGTTGATTATGTGACAGCATCGTTACTCATTTGTGCCTATTTATTAAGCTTGTAGAATGAAATATGGATTCTCTCTCTCTCTCTCTCTCTCTCTCTCTCTCCGAAACGGATTCACCTCGTTTAACTCTCCTTTACTCATAACTTTTAACTCTCCAGTCGACTTCTTATAAAAATCGAGGTATACGTGGGATGAGAGTCTGGGATCGAATCCGGGACTCGCCGACTACAAGTCGATCGTTCTTATACAGAGCTATGCGTCACCTCGTTAAACTTGTATTTAATATTTACCATTTTTTATATACAACATTGTGTTATATAGTTATATCATGTTGCAAATACCAAATCCTATTAAATATTATTTATATGATTTATATCGTTATATAAAATTTTTTTTTTTTTATATTGTTTTAGGTGTGGAACGTTGAAAAGCAGGAGTTAATGGGCACGTACATGGGTCACGATGGACCTGTGCTATGCTGTATGTGGAGTCCTCTCAAACCGCAGTTTATAATGACCGGCTCGTCGGACTTCACGCTACACGTGTGGAATTATACCTTACCCGCGCAATCGCCGAAGCAACTTTCCGACATTAAAGCCATGAAGAAGAAACAAAAGCAACAGAAAAAATCGTCGAAAAATAAAACGGACGATCAAGAGAGTAATGTGACCGCGTCAACGAGTCCCGTTAGTCAACCTGCCGAAATAGCTAACCCAAGTAAATAATTTTTCTCGTACATACAATCGACATGATATACTATTGGCATTGATAACAATAAAAATTTTCAATTATAGAAGTTCAAGTGTCGCAACCAAAGAAGAAAGAAAGAAAATCATACTTTAATAAATACAACAAACTAATAAACGATAAGTCTCAAATCCTGAATTTCATCAAACTTGATATAAAAAGTAACAAGACTGAGGAAGATGACACTGCTACAAAATCATCATTGTTTTGCGAAAAGAAAGATAACTTTTTGAAACTCATTTCTAATGAAAGTAAGTTTAACTTTGCGTATATTACATTGACATATATATATCTATTTCATATCCTTCCCCTTTGAAGAAATGTAACTTCTCAGGGAGGGATGTAGAAGTACATGAAAAACTAAAATCTCCTAAAATTTTTTGCATTTATTTAGAAACACCTCTATAAGTATATATTACAATTATATTACATATTATATCACGATTAATGATTTACTATTTATTTTCAGAGGCCGGACAGGACAATTCAGATGCTGTTACTGAGTTGAATATGTGGACTGATGATTTGAAAAACAGTTTAACTTGTGCAGTCAAAGATCAACAATTAAATGACTTTTTAGTATCACTCGCGCCTAATGTTTCCTTAAAGTATGTATGAACACTTCTACAAAATTGAATATGTACATATATTGGTTATACGACCGAGATTGATTTTACAGAATGTGGAGAGAAATGTGCGAGGCGTATGCGCATCAATTAATAACGCAACACAATCCGGAAAAAGCGGTGTCATATTTGCTAAGCATACACAAGATTTACGAAGCCATAGACGTATTTTTAAATGCCAAGATGTTCAAGGAGGCTTATGCGCTCGCCAGATGTAAACTGGATGCTGATGATACGTTCCTAAATAAAATATTAGAATCTTGGGCGGAATGGGCCGCTTATAAAGGTCAATTGGAGCAGGCAGCTCATTGGTAAGACGATTATTTTTCTTAAATTAGTATTTTCCGTTAACCCTAAGCGTCGTATAGTGCGCTATAATAAAAAAATATATTTTTCACATTTACATGATATAAAAAATATTATTTTGCATATTTAAATATAAGTGTCATAAAAAAAATTTCTATTAAAATTAACTCTTGATGTTTCATGTATCAGTCTCGTAAAATTAGGACACTTTGACAAGGCAGCAAAGGTTCTTTCTCATCGGAAAAACTTACACTGTTTGGAAATAGCGTCAGAATTGGCGTTTTTAAGCGGTGACGAGGGATTCGGTACGTCCTTAGCTGTGGACGCGATGACGCGCGCACTCATGAAATCCGACTGGTCGAAAGCGCGTTCCCTTATCGCGGACATCCGACAAGTTCAGGTATACTTTTGCATACAAAACACGCACGTATTTACATACATACGTTTATATCAATTTTTTTACAACTAAAAAATTTTCTGTGTAGTATCTGAACGTGCATATAGATGCCCACGAGACAATCGTGGACACATACTCAAACCAGACTGAGTTCGACATGATAAAGACGTGGTTGGAAGAGAAGGAAAATAATGGTATGCTACGTGCTCTCGAGGAAAAATACGGCACTTGTTATTACGATATCATGCGCAAGAAAGACGATACCAACATTATTTTAAGAAATGCAACCTCGACGACGAACGATAACGTGGTAAGATACAGAAATAAAACTGCCCAGCAGTATATTCTTTCTCGTAGGCGATATTTAATAACAATACTCAATACTTTTCGTGTATAACGATACTTCGTATTTTACATTTTCCTCCAGATGCAAATAAATATTAGTTATCAAATTGCCATGGCGGCCACGTGCGACGCGAAGGAGACTCGATTGAAACATTTGGCAACGGCATTAGACAGCATATTCGAATTCGAAAACACGACAGCGAAATTCGGGGCGACGATAAAGGAAGGATTCTTCACGCATGTTCTCACGAAATTGGACACCAAGAAGCCGACGGACGGGGACAGCGTTTACGCGAAGAGCGAGTATCCGGTGTCGCAGAGTATACGCGCTTACTTATGCATCGGTCTCCTGAATTGGTTGGAGAAATATTTGGAAAAGCTGTCGGACGAAGAAGAAACGCAGATTACGCAGTTGATATCGGATTTGCTAGACGATACTATAAACGAAGCAAACCTGTCTCATCAGAATAATATTTCTAAACATAATAAACTGGAGGACCGACTTATGAGTCTTGCGGGTTAGTTTTTTTCTTCTAAATCCGTTAGATTGTTTTATACGTGTGATTGTACACAGCATTGATAGATCAATTTAATAATAATTCATCTTTGTCTTCAATTCGTTTTACACGTGTGTGTATATATATAATACATTTAAATATATTTTTTCTCTAGCGGAAACAGAAGAGGAAATCGAAAATGATGAAAGATACACGAGTATCCAGGAAGAAGCGGAGAAACTCAAACACGATGTAAATAAATTCAACGAAGAACGAATACATGTACCGCCTCCCGATGTCGTTTTTCACAAAGCTAATTTAGTTGCTAACAAATTGAGAGATAGTAACAAATTCCAGCTTTTACAATTCTTAGATAAATCGCTTAAGGAGATGAAGGCGTTTGAGTTAGAAAAAAATACGCAATCGGAAAATGTCTCGCTATAAATGTATTTAGAAATAGATGGAAGTTTAAAAGAATCTGAAAGTTTTTATATCATTATAAATGATAAGCTATGCATCATAAATTACTTCTATATATCGTTCATGTAAGCCTTATAAAGTGCATTATAAAAATACATTTTTTTTTCTATGCAAGTGTGAAATTTTATCTCCAAGATTTGAACATCTAATTTACCGCATATCCGTAATAAGGGAAATGTACTTCCGTCCTGAATCAGATTTTTATCTCAATGCATTACTGATGAATGATAAAGACTTACTTTATGGACAAAATTGTTCAGTGTATCCTAATTTATATTTATTCTCCAGAAACACAGCTCTCTGTCGCTTCCCGCACAGACGTAGGGCAATTTGTAGTGCCACGTCATACCGCCGATTAGCTTTACTTTCCCACACAACACCACTACTTTCGACCTCAGATTGACAACCTTCAATAGATTATCCGGCCAACCGATACTCGACACCAGATTCTCGTTCGCATGTGAGACCTTCACCGTTAAGCCACCTTCCACGTGAAGCGTCCGCTCGTCAAGAGGACGACTAGAATTGAAAATAGAGTAAACAAATTTAATGAAAGCATGAAATCCGACACGGACGCAGGATTTGGAGTCAAGTGTCTTATTACCTGGGTCTGGACACGTCCCAAATCAGCAATTCCCCGGCGGCCATCGACGCGACTTTCAAGGGATTGGGCCCCCAGTCAACTGCTGTCAAGGGAACGGCCCCGGAGTCGAGGGACATGATCGCCTGTTGGCTTCTGACGTTGTACATACGTATCAAACCGTTCTTCTCTGCTACCAGGAGCTTGCCGGACTCTTCGTTGTGCCAGCACACGCTGGTACCAGGCGACGTCAAGTAAAACGTGGACACGCATTTTTGGTTTTCCTTAACCGCCCACAACTTGCACGTGTGATCGTCGGAGACCGACGCCAGTAGCTCGCCCTCCGGCTCGTACGAGATCGCGTTCGTATAGTCTTTGTGGCCCTCTAAAATCTTTGAAATATCCGTGATCAGATTCGAATTCGGTGGCAACGCCGGTGAAAAATTTCAGGTGACCCCTCTCAGGTGTTCCTACCTCGTACACGTTGACGTCGTTCAGATTGCTGTTGTACAGTCTTATCTTGAAGTCCGACCCGGCGACGCAGAACGTGAGGATCTTGGGGACGATGCTCAGGGAGGTCTCCGGGCTCCAGGCGATCGCGTGGGGCCTGGCATCGTGGTGAAACGTTCTGATGGGGCTGTACGCCATGTCCTCCACGGCGTCGTCTTCATCCTAGGTCGTTTTAAAAGTTCGTTTAACTCTCGGCAAGCGGGTCAACGCGTCGATCGTGCATCTCGGTTGATATTTCAATTTCAACATTTCGACAATTTTTAACGAAACTAAAAAATAAATTAAAAAAACGACAGCGATTCTCGATCGCGGGAAGATCGCTAACCTCCCGCGCGCACCTGAAATCTGACGGTGGCGACGACGATCTCCTTGGCGAGGGCGATGCAGATCAGGTGCTGCGACCACTCGTACGGCGAGAACTCCACGCAGTGGATCCGCTCGAAGAAACTCCGTTTAAATGTAGGCGGCGTCGTGACTGCCTCGTCCATCCTACTACCCTCTTCGCTGCGTATACGTGTGTGCCTGTGCGCGCGTATCAGGAACGAACGGAGCCGGCATAACCTATACAAGCATAACCTATACAGGTTGGTCCCGTGCGACTCTTAACGCGTGTCGATCGATCGTCGGCGGAGAGGCGGCGGACGGTTACGAGTACGCCGGCATAAGTCACACACACACACACACACCGGTGAGACGATCGGAGGCTCGAAGGACGCGGCTCGTTCTGTCACCCGCGAGGAAGGGAAAAAAAAGCGTGTGTATGTACACACAGCGTCCGGTCGAGGTTAGGTTAGGTTAGAACGGCCCTCAGCCGGTGGTCTCGGCGGCGGCGCGCGATTGGGACAGGAGGTATATACAGGTGCCGCCGAGAGGGCAGCACGCGATCGTCGGCGCCGTCGACGGCCAACAGCAGCAGCAGCGTGCCACACTGCCCTGCCTGCTGCACATCTCCGGAAAAAAGAGTGGCGGAGCCTGCCTGCTGTATGTGTATGTGTGTTTCCGAGCGTTCGCACACACGATTGTCACATCGCGCGCCCCTCGACTCTGCGCTATTTTCTTCCCCCCTCCTCCCCACCTCCCACAAACACACACTCCTCCCCACCCCCCTCGAAGGACGGACCAGGTATGAATTGACGCGCGGCGCGACGCCGGAGAGAGCACGTCTCCTCGCCGTCCACCACGCGGTCCGCCGCCCAGGCTCTCCGTCTAGCTGCCCGTCCCGTAGTTTCGCGTTTCCAGTCCAGGTGAGTACGCGCCGTGCGAGCGGTTGGCCGTTGGCGAGCGAGCGCGTGCCAGCGGCACGCCGGACCACGGCGGCTGGTGTCGAGGCATGCATGAATCGGCGCCGCGTGCACGCGGCAGGCTGCTCTTGTTCGCGCGCGTGTCCGCCGCGCCGCGTGTTATCCACGCGCGCGCGCGTGTGTGTGTCCGCCCGCGTAAATAATCCTCGCCGACCTCGGAGCGTGCGCGACGCCGCCGATCTCCGGCCTCCTCGCTCGCGCCGCCCGCCCTGGTCGCGACCGGGTGCGCGCTCGCCACCGCGCGACAGAACCTCGTTCCCGATTACTTGAACCGGCTCCCGCTCGTCCAAGCTGCGGTCGGGAGTCTTGACGTCGCGTCGCGGTGGCTTGCGTCAGCTTCGCGAAATTGCGCGAAGTGTTGATAATTCGTACTCGTAATTCGCACGGCCGGTCCACCGGAGAATTCAATCCGCTTCAATCGAGAGAGCTCGGGGGAGTGAGGTTGTTGGATTTGTTGGATCTCGTTGTGCAAAATGTATTTACCGCGACGATACCTTTGGCCTCGCTCGCTCGTCGCTAAATTATTCCTGAGACAAATTTTTGAGCAGGAACATCTTTCGTGTGACAAGCGGCACACATATGTTGTCGAGTATCGTAGCGATAAAATAACATTTTCTTTCCTCCCTTCGTTTCGTCTATGTTTCTTCCTGTTTCTTCGTTTGACAGAGATAAATTTTTTTTTTTTTTTTAATATTATGTAACAAGCGTTGTTTATACAGCTTACATATGTCGAACGTCTCCTGTATTTCAGTGCAAGTAGGAATGGAGTTCGGGGTGGGCGACGTCGCCCAGATATCGGCGGAACTGGCTCGAGTGGTCGAGATGATGATGTCATCCGGCATATCTCAGCCGCAACGTCTGGAGATGTACACCGCCTGCGAGAGGTTCAAAGAGTCGTCGCCGTTGTGCGCTCAGTGCGGCCTGTACCTGGCGCAGAAGTCACCCGACCGGAGCCCGGTGGTGCGCCACTTTGGTCTACAGCTGATGGAGCACTGCGTCAAGTATCGGTGGACGCAGATCTCGCAGTCGGAGAAGCTCTTCATCAAGGAGAACGCGATGAAGCTGCTTCAGGACGGCACCCAGCCGCTGCTGCAGGAAGAGGCGCACATCAAGGACGCCCTGTCGCGCGTCGTGGTCGAGATGATAAAGCGGGAGTGGCCCCAGCAGTGGCCGACGCTGCTGGCCGAGCTCAGTCAGGCCTGCACGCGGGGCGAGAGCCAAACCGAGCTGGTCCTGTTGGTGTTCCTCAGGCTAGTGGAGGACGTGGCGCTGCTGCAGACGCTCGAGTCCAATCAGAGGAGGAAGGACATATATCAGGCATTGACCACGAACATGGCCGAGATCTTTAGCTTCTTCCTGAGACTGATGGAGCAACACTTTTCGGAGTTTCAGAAGAAAAGTGCCTTAGGACAGACATCCGAAGCTGCGGCACATAGTAAAGTCGTTCAAGTGAGTTCTTACGAAAATCGGACTTTGACTCGTGTATCGCGATGGTCGGTATTTTTCAATTAAAATACGTTTATCGTTCCAACAGGTAGTGCTGTCCACGTTAGCTGGATTTGTCGAATGGGTCTCGATAATTCACGTTATGGCCGAGGACGGCAGATTGTTGCAGATATTGTGCCTGCTATTGGGAGATCATATATTTCAATGTTCCGCCGCCGAATGCCTCCTTCAAATCGTAAATCGCAAAGGCAAGGCCGAAGATCGAAAGCAACTGATGATCCTGTTCTCGGAGGAGGCTCTGAGGTGTATTTACACCTCGGCCACCGCTCCGCCGCCTCTCGCTGGACCTACGAATTTCCATGAAAATCATTACTTATTTCTGAAGAAGCTCACACAGGTGCTTGTTACAATGATCGTATTATTAATATTCGATAAACCTGCATTGCGTTTTGTAGTTTTAGCACCCATGAAAGAAAAAATCATGATCATCATTCGCGTGATTGTTATTTCAGGTACTGACTGGTATGGCGACACAGCTTTGCACCTTATGGGGAAAGGATGACGCCTCTAGCATACGACCGACGCATTTCAATCTCTTTCTCGACACCGTGCTCACGTTCACCATGTACCCGAGCCTCACGCTCACGCATTTAGCGAACGCGATTTGGGTGATGCTGTTCAAGCACGAACAGATCAAGCTGGACTCACTGCTGCTCACGTACGTGCCCAAATACGTGGAGCATACCGCGCCCAAGTTGATCCGCGTTACGTATCCACACGACAGACAGAGCAACGGCATGACCACGTACTGCCTCGTCGATTACGACTCGGAGGAGGAGTTCAACGTCTTTCTGCATCGCTTCAGGATGGATCTGTTGGAGGGATTCAGACACGCCACCATGGTGGCGCCTCTGGTGACGTTCACGTACGTGCAGCAGTGGCTGACCGCGAAGATCACCAAGGGTATGGCGAATCTGCAGTACAAGAGTGATCAGAACGACCGGGAGTACCTCGAGTGGGAGGCCCTCGCGCAGGCGTTGGACTCCGTCGTGTCCAGGATTTTGCTGATCAACGAACGGCCGAGCGTGCAGACCGGTCTACAGCTGTTGGAGCTCTGCCTGAGTTACTCGCCGCAGGATCCCTGGCTCCTGTCCGCGCTGCTCTCCTGCATAAGCGCGCTCTTCGTGTTTCTGTCGATGTCGACCGGCTCGATGGCCATGCCGGGCGTCGCCATCCTGCCGCGCGTCCTCGACAAGATCTTCGCCGCGTTGGTGTTCGAGGCGCCCGGCGAGAACGAGCGCAATCGCTCGCGGGCGACCAAAAACGTGCGACGACACGCGGCCAGTCTGATGGTGAAGATCAGCCTCAAGTATCCGCTGTTGTTGCTGCCGGTGTTCGAGCAGATACACACGATGGTGCGCAGTCTGACTCGGGAGCCGAGCCCGTTGTCTCGAATGGAGAGCGTCATGCTGTACGAGGCGCTGCTCCTTATCTCGAATCACTTCTGCGACTACGAGCGGCAGACGCGATTCGTCACGGAGGTGATCGGCGACGCGTCCAGCAAGTTCATCGCGATGGGCACGGAGTGGTTCGAGGGACCGCTGGAACTCATGCAATTTGTGGGGCTCGACAGACCGCCGGTGGAGGACATGCTGGAGGATCCGGTCAGGCGTAATCGCAGCGATCTCATGATGTGTATTTGCACGGTGCTGAGTGTAGTCAAACGATGCTCAATCCCAGAGGATCCCGACCGCGCGGCCAGGGGTGGCTTCGTGGCCGCGCTCAGCGAGAGCGGTAATCCGGTGTACCGAAACCCGGCGACACCCCATGTAATCCCCATTCTGCCGACGCTTTTCGCGCTACTGCGAACGATGAACGGTCTCTTCAGTCACGCTGCCCTCGCTGCTCTTTCTGAGGTAACATTTGACGTAGTTACTAATGGATTGAAATGTGGAGATTTTCGAGTGATGCAAAAAGATTTGGTACGATAATTAAGCTTATTATTAATTCGACTTGTGATCGTTTCAATGTGTGTGACAGTAATTATGTAGGCGACAAATATTTTGTTTGATACTTTACAAATTGAATTTTAAGCGAGCATGCACAGAATTCTGTTCATTTTAACGAGCAAGTATCAAACGATTAATAATTGTTGCGAGTAAAATAACGGAGTTGCGTTGATTGGCATCTCGTTCTTGTGAAAGATTGTTGAATGTATCTGTTTTTATTCTACCAGGGCTACAAAAATGCTCATGGACTTTTGGAGTCTGAAAAGGCGAATCTTCTGGGCGTGAATGTAACCAACGACAATAATAGCGAAACGGACCAGGCTTCAAGCACTTCTCTCGGTCGAATGCAATCATTTCTGAGCACAATTCATGACCAGTGTTACCATATGTTGGGTAGCGGCTGTCACATGATCGGTCGAGATTTTTATCAATTGCCTGGACTCGCACCGGCCTTGTTGAACTCTGTTTTCTCAAACATGGAGGTAATCTAATGTTTTGTTTTACCAATAATCTTAAATTAACGGAAGATAGGAGATTTATATGGTCAAATTGACAGCGAAATTTGCAAGGAAAAGAATAAATGAATACAGTTCCTCAATTTAGATATTTATTACCACATTTCAGGTGTAGAAAATTATTTTATAACACAAAACTTATCTATTAATCTATAAAATATAGAAGTTTTCTGTTATCGAAGATAGAGTCGAAAATTTTGAGTGCCTCGTGTTTTGTCACGATTTTATGACTTTTAAGGAAACAGTTTGCTATTTTCTAGTTTTTCTCAGAAAATATTTTCCTCTACACTTAAAATATACTATTAGAAAAATGTTATTACGATATGATAACATAAACGTAAAAATCTAATTTTTACGTAAAAATTTACCATATTGTTTTGTAATAATATTTTTCTAATATCTATTTTAAGTTCAATTTGTAAAGTAAAAAAATATATTGAGTAAAACTATACAAAAAAATAGCAGACTGTTTTCTTTAGAAGTCAGAAAACTGACAAAACTCGAAATTTTCGGGAAAACTATATTTTTAATAAATTTTGTATTACAAATTAATTTTCTACATCTTAAATATAATAATAAATAGCATCTATACAGAGAATTATATTTATTCTTTTTCCTAAAATTTACAAATTTCGCTTCCAATTTAATCAAATTTCCTGGCTATTCTTAAAAAAAATCCTCTGTCCCTTTCAGGTGATTCCAGATTACAGACTACGACCAATTATACGCGTGTTTATGAAGCCATTTATATACTCGTGCCCGCCGGCTTTTTACGGGAGCGTACTAATACCTGTACTGGCTCACGTATCCACACACAGTAAGTGATTAAAATAATTTTCTTTATTTTTTCCCATTTTTACGTTTTTTTTTTTTTTTTCGTGTCAAACTAACATTTAAGTATAAAGCGATCCTATCATTCCGTGCGATTTTTTTTTTGTAGTGTGCCAAAGATTAAGTGCAAAGTGGCAGTACATAGCGCGTCTGTACGAGTCCGGCGGTCTGGATGAGGAGAACACCGACACGCAGGAAGTCATCGACGACATGCTCAACAGGAATCTGACCAGGGACTTCGTGGACGTGTTAAAAGTGGCTCTAGTCGGCGGAGCCGCTAGCGATGCCGCTCCTCCAGACACCATGGAACAGGACAGCGGGGGAATGGCAGTGGACCCACCTCTCTCGCGGGGAAACAGTATAGTCGCCGAGGTCGTCAGTGAGCTCGGCACTTTTATTTTGCGTCATCCGTCCACTTGTCACAGCGTCGTCCTATGCGTATTAGGGTAAAATATCTTAATGAATAGAATCATTGTAGATTTTATTATAAAATTAAAGAGTTAATTCTTAATTTTTTACAATCTTTTTTTAAATAATTCTTGATTTTTTACAATCTTTTTTTTTTAAGCATCCTATCGTTAATAATATATCCTGGGTGTCTCTAGGGCGCTTGCATGGAACGACTCAAATGCGAGCCTCAAGGCTACAATGTTGACTGGGCCTGTGGTCCGAGCATTGGCAGCTGACGGCAGCCTTACTCCTTCTATGGCAGCGCACATCATGGTCGCCGTTCTTCAAGGTTTGCAGCTGCACGGTCAGCACGAGGCCAATCAGGGTTCCCTTATTACTCTGGGCGCGCAGGTCTACGAGTGCCTCAGACCTAAGTTTCCGAACATCATCGAGGTGATGCAGCAAATCCCGGGGGTCAATCCCGCTGACTTGCAACGCTTCGATGAGAAAATGTCGGTAGTCAGCACGAAAGGCAACAAGGTCGAGAAGGGAAAGAAAGACCTCTTCAAGAAGATCACTAATCAGGTATGCAATATTCAAAAGATATCCCGGCTAAGCCTTTAACTTAGGTCTGGTTCCACAAATGTAAAATTAACTTTAATCTCGGTTTAACTGTTTAGCTCTTTTTAATTCTTAGATTAGAAAAAGAAAGCGAGTTGAATTTCGGTTAAATCCTTAGAACGTTAAATTGAATCAACCGCGAATTGTGAAACCGGGCCTTAAAGTCTGTATTTGGAGATATGTTAAAAATTTGTAAAGTAAAAATTTTTTATGAGATTTATTATGCTTCTGTTGTTGTATTTTATATCTTTTTCATTTAAAATTTAAATGGTTTGATAACAACGATGGGATCTCAATGCGTCTTTTACAGCTTATCGGCAGAAGCGTAGGTCAATTATTCCGTAAGGAAGTCAAAATAGACAATTTACCGCGGATAGAGGTATCCGCCAAGTCGCAGCAGGTACGCGTGGATGAGATCTCGAAGAATGCCACTGACACGGGAATAACAGCACTGTTCGCTGGATCTACGTAGCAGACCGTTTTAGAGAATCACGTTTTGCATTGGTCTAACTCAATAAGCAATTATAAGTTATTGTAAAAAAAAAAAAAAGGTCTTTCCGAGGAGAAAAGGGTCGTATGGTGGCGCGGAGAAAGAACGTTCGATCCAAAATCTGCTAAAACAGTGGGTTTTTTTGTTCTAGGAAAATTCACAAGTTTCTCTTTACGACGATACTTACAACAAATGAGCCGTGTTAAAGCGTTCGGGGTATCACCTCGGATTTACGTGCGATTGCAAATTTCAGACATTATTTTCTATTCGTATTCATTCAGTGAGGGCGTTTGTAAACTGATGTACGTTGTGATAGAACGAGAAAAATAATAGCCTGCGAATCTTAATAAAACTGCAATCGCCGTAAAAAGAATCGAGGTGATACCTCCGAAATCCTCGGACATGCCGTGCCCCCACTCAATCGCTAGGTGCTCCAAATTAAGTCTCGGATAAATTATGAAACGCAACTGATAGTACATAAATATTTATGAGCAATTGGAGAAATCTTTCTGCACTTTCCTCATTCTGAAATCGTTCGTAAATTTCAAACTGATGAAGATGCAGCACGCGTTTCGGCAATATGTAAGTGTAGGTAATTTTTTTTTTATCTACTGCACATTCTCAAGTTACTATTATTTATTCTAATTAATTTTAAAGACTCGCGCAAGAGGAAGAACACGATCGATATCGTTCGCGTTCCGTCTTGTCACTCGTACTCAAGACCGAGCATTCGATCTCTCGGGCCGGTATTTTTCATAGTCGATTCGATTTATTTCGAGACCGTCTTAAGTAATGTCTTAAGATGCTTATACGACTCTGTGATTGTGGTTTATAACATCTTAAGACAGCATACTTAAGATGATCTTGACTATAAGAATCGACTACGAATACGGCCCTTCAGGTAGCGACTGGAATTTTTTCATGCGTCGTCATTTCTTAACGTCTTTTTTTAAACGTCAGTTTAAAAAAAAAACAATTCCAAACGCATCACAATGCCGCCTTTTGTGGCAAATATACGGGATGTAAAAGTTCGTCGGGATTATGGAGGAATTGTACAATGAAGCGTAAAGGAGTATTGTGATAAGACTAACGGAGTATAAAATTTTACAGCATACGCGAAAGCGAGCGAATTAAAAAAAGAGGAGCAGCAAAGTGAATTTCATTGCTTTGTGTAAACGAGAAAAGAAGAGATACGCGAGTTCGAGCTGTGAACTGAACTGTGTGCAAAATCGAACTGTAAACTGTAGTATATTTCTTAACTCTTTTTCTTTGCTACATTCTAAATTATGACTCCGAAGTCCATAGTGATCTGTGGCACGTTAGGTCTGTTCTCTTTAGCTGAAAGCCTTTTTCTATTTTTATCGGTATACGGGACGAGAGATTTACGTATGTTTTCGCGAGAAAAAGAATTAAAATTTGCGGAAAGCGTAGCTAAAAAGAGCATATCTACTGTATTGTATTACGCTGAGGATTTCGAAGTATAATTTATTACATCGGTGTCATATATCTATATATTATAAGTATATACATATTGTACAATAAAATCTTATAGCGTTGAACTTATACCAGAATAAAAGAAAACAAACGTAATCGCTCATCTACGCAGCACATGTACTGCATACGTATATGTATGTATATGTCGGATGTCATATACAATTTGTTTATTTGTTTTTTCAAGGCATGGATCGACGCCGAAAGCTATACGTACGTACGTACACGAAAAGTCGATCAACGTCTTCCTTCCGAGTTTTCTCGCGACGATATAATTCGAAGAAATTCGCGACACAACTTACGAATCAATTATAAATTTTTACGCGATACTGTATTTACATACAAGTCGAGTTATAATCGGCAGTTATAATCAAGGGGATATGTATATGTATATATACATACACGGATCTTACGCGGAGAACATCTGTATATTATTATTACGATCTTAATATAAATGCAAAATAACGATAAGCGCGCAAATGACAATTAATGAATTAAGAAGTAGGTGACCGATCGCGATGATTGCGAACGTGAATTGTTGCGAAATTGTTCCGAGAGGAATCCCGACGCGTATTTAGAATATTAAATCTTTTTCAAGACCGAAGAGGGATCACGAAGGTAAACGTACCAATGACTGAACGTGTATCTATATCTGAACACAAAATTTATTAATCCCAAAAGCTTTTTTTTATTATAATATCAAAATTTAATTGCAAAAATATTTAAAGTGTACAATTCAATTGTAATGTTATGAAAAAAAGCATTTAAAAATAAGTTTTTGTGTTCCGATATAAATACATCTTCAGTCACTGGTACGTTTACCTTATAGGAATCGCCATCAAAGACAACCACCATCGCAATATCACATATCAAACAATCATTTTTAATTCATTTTCGAAAAATTTTTATTCTCTCGTTTACTCGACTAGAATGCATTCTACATGTAGTACAAACCTGTAAGCCTGTAAGCTATCATTGTTATATTTGATTTCTGTCCCACGTGCTTAGCTTTTCCCTCTATCTGAAGGTCTGCACGACGACGATTTTAAATTCAGATTTTATTCGCAAGTTTTTGCAAGTCGCACTACTTTCTCAAGCATTCCACTGCGCTTTTAGGGACGAATATGCGATCGGTAGAGTGTGTGAGAAGAGAGAGAGAGTAGTTACTGATTTATAATTGATGAAAAAGAAAAGGGTTCCATCGCTCACGACGCGATGGAACACGCCTTACGGAAGCATTTAACTTTTTTGTTTTTGTTTTTTTTTTGTTTTTTTTAATCGATGGAGCATCGACGAAAAAAGTAATACAACGTGTTTCCTTTCCGTTGCATTCTTCCATTAGACGAAACTCTTGACTTGTACAATGGGAACACCTGATACACACTATATGTACATCGAAAAAGCGTTATCACATTGCCAGTTTTTTCATAACGTGTCATACACAAGGTGCGTCACATTAACTTTCTTTTTAAGGACCGTGCATGCCATTACGTGTTACGTGAACAAACTAATGAAGCCACCAACGAAGTGTACACGTACAGCACAACAATCAATTACGATAATTATCCGGAGCCATTCTGGTATTTGCAAAATATCAAAATATTACAACAGCTGCTTGTTTCTCTCACAATCAATTGTTCTGATCTTTATCGAGTTGCAAAAAATTATTGGATTTGTAATAACATTTGTGAAAATTCTCTTACCAACTTAAATTCGACGTTACAACAATGTGATACTTGAAATCATACGGTACACATTTATACATTTAACTGAAAAATGTAATAAATTTACCTGGATGGCTTTTCGACGATCGTTTATATACATATATATATATAGAATTTATATATAATAAATATATAATTATATACATGTATATAAACCTGTTATATACATGTATTAAACTTTGTTATGTACATGTATATAAACAAAGTAATCATATACCACGCTTTGTTATAATATTAATGTTCCAAACGATTTATGCCGGGCGAAAAGGAGACGAGAGTCCACTTGTTTTCAAGATCGCCTGTTTTTTGTACATCAGCTATAATGAAATCAGCGGTAATAATCTTGTATATATTATATTGTAATAAAGAAATTGCATTGACAATAATTATATGTACGTCAATATAGCCTGGAGAGTGTCTCTAGCCTCGTTCTCTGTCTAGTAGAACTTGTATATTTCTCTCTCGATATATACGATTTACAATATATTTTATTTGATATCTCGTAACGTGTACGCGTATTCCTCGATCCGATCCCACAGATCGGCGAGCGTATAGCATATGCACATACATTATAGATCGTCGTGTTTTCGAACACGCTTTCGCGATACGAACCGTTATCTCGCTCGTGTTCGAATGCAAAATCTTATAATTGACGATAATCGTAGAAGCATTTCGTGTAAGTCTTGCGATACGACAAATCGAAATAATCATCACGGAACTGTAATATCGCAGCTCTCCTTCTCTTTTCCCAAGATCAAATCGAAAAAAAAATTATTTTACACACAAGTCATAAATATGTTACATAAATATTTACAGAGATTGAAACCGACATTCAGATTCCTTGCTTTATTATACACAATTGACATTATTACTTTCACATGGAACAAGTATTTCCATTAAACGCTGTTTATTAAGACAATTAATTCTCGCGCCAACAAAAGCGTATTACATGCAAACGTGTACGTGTATATATATATATATATATATACATACATACACACCCATACACACACACAACGTTAGAGTTACGATCCAGACATTTATCGCATTATACTTGCACTGCGTATCATTTACATAAATGCGAACGCTTAGATACTCCTTAACGTAGTCTTTCAGATAAATTTTCAAAATTCTGTACATATATAAATACAAATATATATGTAAATATATACACACGCGCACATACACACACATACTATTTACTACAGAGCATAAATCCCATCGAATGCGGTGTCACTCATCGCTGAGATTAGAAAGAAAAATGCAGCAAGATACTCTTTGGAATCCGACGTAGCAGTTTTATGATCCAGATATAACAACAAGGATATTTTTACTTAACGGCGACAAGAAGCACTTTGTTATGAGCATTAGTTCGTTAATTTCGTGTTTGCGGACACGCTTGTCGCGAGCTACGTTTGGAATGTGTGTGATTTAATTTTTATCCCACGGCACGCGTATTATTTCTATACAGCATATATTTTAAGCATATACTATGTTTACATATGCACACGTCCGCGGCCTAAGTCGTTAATTATTGATCTTTGGTAAAATATTATTTTTCGTCGTTCGTAAAATCTAAGATATAAATTTCTAAGGTAAAAATTTCACTCGTTACTCGTTCATTTCCATCTGTTCTAAAACGATTTGTTAAAATCACTTCGCGTCGTTCATAATCTAAGGTATAAATTTTTAAGATAAAAATTTCACTTATTCGTTTACATATTTCCATCTGTTTTTTGTAGATGAAGAGTTTCGAGCGACGCTTCGTCTTATATTCATCTAGTGACGTGACGTGTCACAATATCAGACAGGAAGACAAGACTGTGTAAATTCACATCCTTTAATATTACTTTTAAAAATTTATTTAACTCATAATTAACGGGGTACTCGAGCTTCGTTGAACCTTTAACGCGTCGGACGCACTTCGCTGTTGCTCTTAGAATATCGAATAGGATAGAATGCCACACGTATTAATTTTTCCAAGTTATTTCCGCACGAGCGTTTCACTGTCACTCGATTGTTCGATCGAAAAGGATGATCTTTTTATGTGACTCGATTTAGGAAATAGATTGATTCAGTTACACTTCAAGTTCCGACGTTCAAGTATACATATATTCGTAAAAAATTTATATTCGTGACATCTATATATGTATGTGTATATATACACATATACGTACACATATAAACACGGAATGTTTGACATTAGGTGTAACATCGTTCACGGGTAGGTAGATCGGAACTAAACTTTGATCGAAAAATCCTGTACTATTTTGCAATTTTCGCAATAGTTACCGAGACATTAATTGTTTCGTTTTGGTAAGTGCTCTGATGTACTGAATAATATTAAATTATGTAAGTACAAAAGAACTTACTTTTCATATAAGTCGCGCTGGGCGGTCGCATATCGTCGCGCGCTTTCATTTAGCAGCAAATTTAGCGCACTTCGCCGATCTTTAATATCTCAGTAACTGTTACGAAAATTGTAAAATATGCACTTTGTCGATCTTTAATATCACAGTAATTGTTACGAAAATTGCAAAATTGTAGAGGACTTTTCCGTATAATCCGTTCTAACTACCCATGAACGGTGTTACACCCATAATATCAAACACTCTGTGTAAAATCGAAATGTATTATCTTAAATATCTTAGAGTAATTGATATATATACATACATATATACACAAATAATTATTTCGATGCTCAATAACGTAAAACGCTTCTAAAAAAGATTCCTTCGCCACTGATTCGGTTTTTGTACTCGAGACAAAGGCAGATCTCGCATAATTTCTCACGATATATCTTCTTATTAGACAACGTTCGATATTTTTTACAAAAATACAATAATATCTTTCGTTAATAAATATCTCTCGCTAACAGTTTGAGCAGTCAACGAATAAGGCGTTTTTTTTTTCTCCAACAGCGTATATGACAACTTCTACTGTGCAAAAAGATATACTATTCTGTTCCGTTTGCTTTCTCACCCGTTTCGTATTCGCACGTTTTCCTCAATCAACGACATGAGTCTACATGAGTCGACTATTAGATCTGTTCATCTGTTAATATCTAGATATTTTTCAGTCTTACAAAAAAAATTTTTTTTTTAAATTATGAGATACGAATTGAATAATAAATTATATTATTTTATTATTTATAAACATTATAAATCTAATTCTCTTCCCTCTTTTCTGTTAAATTTTATCAAATTGCATCAATCTGAATTTTATCATATTGCATCAACATAAAAAAAAAGTTTTTCTTCTTTCTATTTCGATAAATGATAATTCCGAAAGGTGACATTTCGAACAACTGAGCATTTCTCCAGTGTGAATTCTTTCGTGATTATTTCACGATATATTTGAGTTAAACTTCTTGCCACAGAATTCGCAGGCGTATTTTTCTATCGTATTCAGTTTATTGGACGACTGTAAAGGATCTCTTGTATTTTGAAATACAGTTTCGAGATTCTTTTCCACACAAACGGCATACCTCGACCATTTCGATAAGAAAATATAGAAATTACTGAAGAGAAATAAATTTGTTTTATATACCCTTATACATAAATGTGTAAATAAAATAAATAAAAATAAAAGGCGAAAAAAAAGTACTGGTTCAATTCAGCTCTGCTTACCTTATTATCCGAGAATTTAAATTATAAGCTATTAAATTATGAAAAATATCGAAATATCAATGGACAGATCTAATGTAAATGTTGCGATTGCTGCAGGCCGCGAATAGCGTCAAATTATCGACATGTAATCGTCGCACAGAGGAATACCGGTACAATCGACGATTGAATCTTCAAGTGCCGGTCGTATCAGCATTCTTCTTTCCTATCAACAGGAACACGTCCATGTTGTCCTTGCCCTTGACGTACACCTGTCCGCGCGGCTCAAACTCGTATCGTTCCGACAGGACGGCCAAGCAATTGCTGGCTATCTGTATCCTACCGGCGACCCCAGTCGAGTCCATTCGCGACGCTATGTTGACCGCGTCGCCCCAGATGTCATAGTACAGCTTGGTGGCGCCGATCACGCCGGCCGTGACGTCGCCGTAGTTGAAGCCGACACGCAGGATCAGCTTGAAGCCCAGCAGATCCCGATTGAAGTTGAATATCACTTTGTGCATCGCCACGGCGAAGTCCACCAGTTGAAACAGATGCGTGTACTTGTGCTCGCTCTGCTCTCTCACTTGCGGATTCAGGCCGCTCGCAGCCATGAAGGTGCTGCCGATTGTCTTGATCTTCTCGACGTTCGCGTACTCCGGCCGCTCGAGCAGCTCGTCGAAGTCGCCTATGAGCTCGTTGAGCACGCGTAGATACTCCTTACCGCCCAGATACGACTCGTCGTACAGCTCGTTGAAGTTGACGATACTGGCGAAGATAATGCCCACGGATTTGTGATTCTGCGAGTACTTGGCGGTGGTCTTCAGCTGATCGGCGACGTACTTGGGTATGATGTTGTGCAGCAGCCAGTCGGCCTGATTCTTCATCGACTGCACGCGCGTCTTGTCGCGCGCCGCCACCGCGTTGCCGTGGAAGCACAAACGATAACTGATCTCGAATTCGCGATTCAGGAACCAGACTAGCAGCAGCAACAGCACCATGTCTAGATATATCTCCGAATTGTACAGTCTCTCGTTGTACTTGATATAAGGTGTCCCGCGAGTCTTAGACGACGCTTCTTCTTGTTCTCCCGTGTATCCCGCGACCGGCGACGGTGTTCTCGCCGAAGTGGCAGCGGAGAGAAAATCTCTCGTGCTGTTCGGAAAGTTCCCGCCGTTCAGTTCGCTCGCGAACGACTTCAGAATATTCGGATGCGGCACGCCCAATTGCGAGTCGTTGATACGACTGTTGCCACTGCCATTATTACTGAGATTCTCCTGTTGATACGGTGATATGTGACTCACCACAAGACATATGAACAGTATGCCGGTGAGGGTGACCAGCAGATTCTTCATCCAACAGTTGAGTTGCGTAAAGTTGCAGAAGTGCACCAGTCCGACGAAGATCAGGTAGCTGTAGTAGTACTCGAAGTTGTTGAGGTTCCGAAAGCTGTTGCACGTGAAGTTCAGCAAGATGGAGATGATCGGCAGACCGACCATAACCGCGCCGCACACGTGCCACGGATACCAGCGGGAGAAAAACTTGAAGATCCTCTGCGTGAACGTTCCGTGAGATGTATTCGGGTAGAGGAGCTGCCGGATGCAGAGCGACACCGCGATCACTTGAACGATGATGGCGAGCACGGAGAACACCGTGTAGTGAATCGTCGGCTTGCACAGAAGGAACAGCGAGATTGTGATGGCCGTGTAAACCAGGGCGGATATCAAAATGTCGAAGTACGTGTTGAATCTCGAGGTGGCCAGGGTAGGTGGGTTATCGCCAATGCCCTCGCTGGCCTTGTGCGCGTTCTCGCGGTATTCCTTCTCCATTTCCTTGTTCTTGAAGAAGAGAGTGACGCTCGACAGTGGCGGTTTGACAAAGTACGAGCGTTGAGAGCTCACGTTATCTTGGACGCACCTTCAAGCAGAGGATAATCTTTAAAAAAACATATCCATCGCGACCCATTGTAAGGCGCGCCGAAGAATGATCTGTATCTCACCTAATTAATTGGAGATCAGACTGCTTCCGCAATTTATGAAAGCACGCGCCGAATGTGTCGGTTACCATCGGAGGGAACGGATAAGGGGGCACCGACGACGAAGGTTCGTGAGTGGAGTTCAACGTTGAACTAGAAGTGTAATAGCCACTGACCCTGTGCCCCAACAGATCACCTTGGGTCATGCCATTCATTAGGAACAACTGCAAAGCCAGAAAAAGATGGATGATAAAGCAATTTATCCAACGATAAAAAATATACCAGATTTATAAGAACTTGCTGTACCTGCTGTTGTATACTACTCCGTCTGCTATTGCTCTTGATACCAGAGTCTTTTCTACTGCAAATGGAAGAAGCATTGCTAATCGGCTCTTGACCAGATAATAAAGGACTAGAAGGTACAGGATTCGGGTCCATTTCCACGCCATTGTTCAGAGGGACCTGCGAAGCGATTATAAGTACCGATCATAAAGTGACCAATCGTAAAGTAAGCAAGGAAAGGGAATAAAGGGCTACTAACCCGTCTAAATCCATTGCATTCTTCGTACGTCGTCTCGGGTCTCGCCCGTTCCATAGCGATATTCCTTCCCTCTTCTATCTCCAGGGGTGTCATTTCCTCGGTTGTCCGTTGTCTCTGCAGATACCTCCACGGCTTATTCCGCACTTTCTTCTTGCCGTAACTCGCGGTGGACGTCGGACTCTTGTTCGAGTCCTCCTTCTCGTCCATGGCGTCGCCGTCGTTCTCGGAATCCAAGATGCTGGGCAGGGAATTGGCCTTCATCTTGTAATTGCTCACGTTCGTGATCATGTGGAGATAATGATTTCGCGGCTTGGCCTGATTGTTACACGACGCCAGACGATTCCGCGATTGCATCAATGGCGAGATACTCTTGGGTGACGTGACGTTCGTGATAAATTGATTCACGAAGTCCGACTTACGGGCTCTAATGAAGTAGGTTTTAACACCTGTGGAACGGATGAGAAATTCACACGTATAATTCAAATCTCTATGTAATCCTTTCTTCTTTCTTTTTTTTTCTCTTCGCATTGCTTCACTTACCGTTGACTATCTCTCCAGTCTCCGTAATGTACTGATCCCCCAGAAATCTCAAAGTGTTTTCACTCAAATGTACACGACCGGGCTTCCCCGTGCTCTCCAGCTTATTCGCCAGAGTCACGTCGTTCGACCAAACGTCGAATTTGAACCTCTTGGTGCCCACGATGCCACAGAGTACGGTGCCCGTGTGCACACCCACTCTCATGTTCACGCCCTCCCGTCTCTCGATGTCGAATTGTTTGATCGCTTCGATCATGGCTGTTGAAATGCAATTTATAATATCAGTTTCACGATTGTTGAAATTACCGGAGTATAATCGCGTATAATGGATGTTTCACCTACCCAGCCCCATCTCTATGCAACACTTCGCATGATCGGACCTTGGTTCCGGACATCCGCTCACGCAATAGTAGCAGTCTCCCAGCGTGGAGATCTTCTCGCAACCGTGATGTTCGCAGAGATCATCGAAACGTTCGAACAGATCGTTCAGGATGCCCACCAATTCCTCCGCGGTTTTGTTTGAGCTCATCCTGGTAAATCCGACAATGTCGGCGAACAGGATACTGACGTCCTCCATCGAGTGCATGTTGAACGGACGAAACAACGAACGTATGTCCGTATTGTTGGACGGTATCGAGCCCTTCTTCAGAGAGTCCTCCCGCTCCCTCTCGCGCTCGCTCTCCTCCATGAGCCAGTCCGCGACCTTCGGCGGCATAACGGAGTGTATCATTTTCTCCTTCAGCTGCTTCTCCACCTCCAGCTGCCGGCGGACCAGCAGGGACTGGCCGACCTTCATAAACGTGCCGCGCATCCTCACGAAGGTCATTATCAAAATGTGCACGCCTATCAAGTGAATGCAAATCTGCATCAAGATCCTTATTGCGAGATTCGTGGAGAAGTCAATATCATCGGCGAGTAAGTTATCGTTAGCGTAATTATCTACAGGCGATGAATTCACGGTGGAACTGATAGCGGTCATCATGGATGGGACGCTGGAATTAAATCTCGTTAAGACACTCGCGTCGCCGAGGGCACCGTAAAATCGTTGAGCCACCGTCTCCGAGTACCTCGGTCCCGCATCCATTGTCTCTCTGCCTTCGCGCAATCTCGACATCGCCTCTGTACTAATTGCTGCAGTAAAATCACTAATATTACGTATCACATTCGGTAGACCAGCAACACTCAGAGGATTATCCTTTAGAGATGAATGCGTAAGTACCAAGTTTCCCCCTCCGTCCGCCATTGTACTGTTAATTCCTGAAGCGTTACTTTGTACAATTCGTTCGCTCGTGTAAAATCTCTGTCGCGCGTCCTTCGAGCCGTACAGATAGGCAGTCAGGAACTCGAACATGAATGAGTACAGCGTGGATATCCCAAGGCAGGCGTAGAGAGGCATCGGCAGCACTGTGTAAATGACTAATAAGATCTCGGAGCACAGGGCGAAGTGCCCGACCAGAGTAAGCCCGTCCACGTGTGGCGGTACTAAGGCAAGGAAGAGTAAGGACAGGAAACAGAGCGTCGACGCGACTCCCAGGGAAATTGGTAGAACGTAGGATTTGTAGTAGTCCGTATGTGTTAAATAGAGGACTGCCGAGACCATGATGCCGACGATACCGAAAACACCTGCTACTGCCGCCCACGTCGATGTGTCGTTCTCTCCGATTCCGACTATCACAAAATACGTCAACCACGATAAGGACACTAGCAAGATATACGTGAGAGCATACCTGTAAAAAAAATAATAATCAGAACTAATTACTAAATTCTGTCTAATTATCTCTGATTTGTGTAAATCAAAGAACTGATGAATTGGTCCAATAACAATATTTCCAATCATCATGTGTATATAATAATCACATATGTTATGTATATAAATCACATATTAATACAAACCGGAATCTTAATCTAATTTGAGGAAAGGCACTTCTCTTAAACTGCTCCTCGAGGATTTCCGAATCAAATCTGGGATTCCACCAGGAGCGCGGTGCTGCACGTTCGAACGGCACGGGTAAACTGACGCCGCAGCATCCCAATCCCTGGCTGCTATGCGCCAGATATGTTTGTATGTACGGCGCCAGAGATATATGAATCTCGTCCTCAGCCTCTTCGCTGTCATCCTTTGCTCGGGTAAAGCTGACAGACGAGCCACGCTTCCGATTCAATTGAGGAGTCATGTTGACAATCTGGTAGGATTCGAAAAGTCACAGTATTATTTAAAAATATATCATTAAGGTAATGGCAAAAGTAAATAAATCACACATATCAACCAGAAATAAAAAAAAATTCAAAATGCTCATTGACTCTAAAATATTAATTTAATTTAAAAAAAAAAATATATATATATATAGAATTTGGCTTGACAAAATAATCATTATCTATTTATGTCATAAAAATAATTGTCACACCTGAATAATTAATCTCTTAATATATTTTTCTTATATATTTCACAAAATCTACATGTCTGTGAATTAAAAGAAACTTGAATGCTATATATATCCATGTCCAATTATCCTACTGAGTATAGTCTATAAATATTATGCAGCTTGAACTATTGACATATGTGTTATCATTCTGTTGCAACTACAATAAGCAGCTGCTGCTAATAATACGGCGCATGATGTTATTTAATGAAGAATGCCACCAATGAAGACTCACGATACTCCGATTCATATGCTTCTTTTTATTCATTTCGGGCTACGTTATCGTCGACAAGACGAGCATACGACACTAAACAATTAATTTCCGCAAACGGAAAAATTTATATAATCCAAAAGAGTTCGACGATACTCCTTCCTTTTTGGAGCGGCTTCCAGTCTTTCGAAAATAATATTGCCTGAGGAAGACGATCGGTGTTTCTCTCTCGTTTCGCGGGGTGGGACTGCTCGCGCGCGTCGACGACGATCGCGAGGCGTTTCGCGCGGGGGTACTCTCCGCGAATTTTCCTCGTCTCGCGCGCGTCGTCGCGTACGCTGGACGCGACGTGTCGAATTGTCAATTTCAACGTCAAACTCTCTGCCTGCGCGTCACTTCCCCGCGGCGCGGGCCGCGCCGCCGGGGGCCCCGAAGGCGCTCGACCGGGGACGGACTTACCGCCAGTTGATTCACACGTCGGTCAGGGGCGAGGACGCCGGAGAGTTCGAGGAATCATCCTCCCCGCTGACGTCGGAGGTTGCTCCTCGCGGCGATCAGCTAGTGTCGCGGGGCGCCATTTTTTTTTTTTCCTCGGCGGCTCTCCTTCAGCGGCGCCGTCGCGCGGGGGATGATGCGCGGGGCGGACCTCGGTGCGGACGACGCCGAAGGACGGGCGCGCGGGCGGGCGGACGGGACGATCGCGGACGACGTAAAAAAGGGAGGAAAAAAAAAACGTAGAATCACGCGTTCTCGCCGACGCTGCCGAGACGATCACCGCTGCGACGTTCCGCAGCCATCTTGAACCCGTCAGCGGGGACGACGGCGGCTGGTGACGGCGCCTACGCTCCTCCTCACGGAGTCGAGAATGTCAAACGGAGAACTGTCACTGAAAACCGCCGACGGAAGATTCTAAGCTTCGTAAAAAGAAAAAAAAGGGGGAGAGAGAAAGAGAAAAACGACGGATCCTAGTGGCAATGTAGGAACTTTTCGTCGAGGGGAGCCTCCCTCTCGCGCGTGTTTCAGAGCGGTTTCCATGTCGCGGCGCGCGGCCAATTGCAAATGAAAATTCCCGCCGAAACTGGCCGTGTTGGTCACTAGCGCGCGGAGCCAATCGGAGCCCGACCGAGAGGGCGGTTTTTCCAATCGAAAAATCGCGCGCAGAAATCAATGCGATAGTAACTATTTATATAAATGTATATTTATAAAAATATGCCTTTGAACAGATGTCTATATTTAAAAATAACTTTATAAATATAAATTGATTTATAAATTGAATTTTTTAATAATTGAAAACTCTATAAGAGTTCATATTAATTTGTGGCTAAAGAAAGAATATAATTATAATTACTATTCGAACGAAAATTTAACTTAACTGACAATTAAACATTTCTCAAACAGTTTCCTTATAAAATTTGTTTTACTTTAGAAGTGTAATTAAAAATAAGAAGTTATCCAATAATTTTAAATAACTACTATAATTTTATACGCAGTTAGTCGAACAATAAATAAATTAAACAAAAGTTTTTTATACAATTGTTCGTATCTCGTATGAAATTTTTGAATTATAATTATTGGAAAGATTGATAGTCATTTGAATAATTTAAATTAAATATTTTTGAACTGTGTAACTTATTTATTATCTGGCCGACGTATTTGGCTAATATCCACTTCTAACAATGAAGATTAACTTTAATCTCGGTTTTTTTTTCTCTCACGTAATAATTTTGCAAAATTTAAATATACAATATCTTATCGAGATGTTGATCTGTAATATTTTATTCCAATGAAAATTCAGCCATGTCAAAATATATATTTTATTGAATTAATAATAAACATATGCGCATTTGGTTATCTATTGTGGACAATTTTAATCAGCGCGCGTATCCGCGAGATCCGCTCGTCCGCGAAACTCAATTGATCGACCGTTGAATTGCCAACCGGCGCCGGCGAAGGGTAACCCAGGGTAACCGCGCTTTCGCGCTCACGAGGTTGGCCATCATCGTATGGATACTTGCCGACGCGCACTTGCGCCTTGCGGACGTGGTGCGCGACGTCGGCGACATTCGCGCACAAACGGCGTTCGCCCGCTTAAATTGAACTCGTCGATCGTAATCATCGGTAATCGCCAGTCCGGCCGTCGTCGTCGTCGTCGTCGTCGTCGTCGTCGTCGTCGTCGTGCCGATATACGATCGCGCGAAGGTAATCGCAGGCGAATTCGCGGGACTCTCGTCGATCGTCCTAGCAGACGAGCGGCGGAGGGCGATCGGCGCGGCGCCGACGGCGCCGTTGCGCGCGGTCGCCGGCCGCGGCGGCCGGGCGGCCGTCGTCCGTACTCCGTCCTGCATACGTGGCAGAGGCCGCGCGCCAATCGGAGGCACCGGCGGCCGATAGGCGTGGCTTGCGGCGCCTAGTACAGCTCGCTCCACGTCCGGCCGCCATAGTACTTCGGGGAATCGAGCCGCGCGCGCGTGTGTAATTCCTGCTGCTGCTCCGAGTCGCGCTCTCGCCATCTCTCTCTCTCTCTCTCTCTCACTCTCTCGCTCCCTCTATCCACTCTGGCCGTCTCTCGTCCTACTACGCGACGACACACTCTGGCCGTGCCGTCCGCAGCGAGGAGCACGTCGAGCCGCGACGATCTCATCGACCGACCTGGACCGACCCTTACACGCGTACGTCGCAGCACCGCAGCGGGTCTACGGAGGTCCACGGAGATATAAACACCACCCTCGGTAAGTGGTCGCGCGTCGGCGCGCGTGCGAAATCTCTCTCGCGCCGGGGGAAGAGAGAGAGAGCGAGCGAGCGAGCGCACGGTGGGTAAACGGCGTGCCGGTCGCGGCGTAACACCGTTAAACGTGCCGACGACGCACCGAATTCGCCGGTCAATCCCCGGTGATGTGTCGATGACCCGCCGCGGCCCCCCGTATATAATCCCATATGCCGTCGTCCTGCCGAAATCCCGGCCGCGGCGATATCGCGCAGCCCCGATTTTACTCCGCACTCCGCGGCCGTTCACCGTGATTCCTCTCCTTGTTTCACCCCCGCTTTCGCCGCGGCCTGCACACGTATACACATACCGTCCCACCGTTATCTGGGATGTCCCACTGGGATGCCTCAAGGACAAATTCTCCAGCGTCCTCGCAGACCGATCTCCTCTTTGTTTTCCGCTGAGAGGAAAAAAAATTCAACTTGAGATTAATATCATTAATCGTTCGCGACTTCGGAATTTTCCTCGAAAAATCCCGTTCAGATAGAATTGACTTGCCTATATTATATCTTACTTAGCGTAGCCAAGCGAAAGATAACTTTTTTCCCCGTAAATCTGTACGGATAGGATTCTTTATCTCCTGATGATTCATGTGGAGTCATGTAGAAGGCTCTCGGTAGATTCAAAGGGCAAACAGCTATGTATCTGAATTGACATTGATACAGATATTGACAATATTGTGAAAGTGCTAAGAAATTTAATAATGCTAAGAGATTTACGGATTTTCATCGTATTTTGATCCATTGATAAATGCCAACGTTTCCTGAAAAATCCACTTTATCAGAGCGAGGAGCAACGTGAAAGAAATTTTTTTTACATCCTACATTACTATACATTATTATAACTGATGATCGACGATTCTAATTTATATCGATACACTGACGCTTAGAATAATAATTCTCTTACAGATAAAACAACCAAAGATGGATCTTCATACGGTACTAGTGTTTGCCGGCATTGTTGTCATCTCAGCTGTGTGCATTGCCTTGTTTTCGTTGTTTGGCATAAAAGAGAAATCTTATGAAGAAGCAATCGCCGAACAGAGGAAGCTTCCTGACGACCTGTTGTCAAGTATGTCAATTTATTTGTGCGATCTCGTAAAGTCAATCTTTCACTTTTGACGAGTCACTTTGACCTGCAATGTTATCTGTAATACAATCGTTATGTGTACAAAATCATTTGGCATAGAATGTAAATTTGAAATGTTTAACACACACACACACACACACACACATACACACACACATGCATAAGTAGAAAAAAAACAAAAACACTGTGTGTGTAATCAATATATTTACAAAATGATTATAGAATAAGTTAATGAAATATTAAGAGTTGAACTAATTGTAAGAAAACTATACTTTGTATACATATAGTGTCTATTAACAAATGTTTTGTTATTCTATTTACAGACAAAAAGGAAAAAAATAAAGAAAAAAAGCACAAGAATAAGGCAGGAAAGAAGGTGAAAGAGAAGAAAGAGGAGAAAGATGATAAGGATGAAAGATCGGAGCATGTTCAATTTGAAGATACTCCCCAAATATTGCCCCCCGAGCCTCCAGTACAGGTAAAGTTATATAATTTATTAATTTATTCTCGTTATTCATTAAAAAGTCTGTAATTATTCCATGAGAATTGAGCATGGTGTATAATGCCGGATTGTAAATTCCCTCGATTTAATACCTAAAGGAAGAGCATGCGACTTTGATTACTGGATAGATGTATATGTATCTTTATTTATTTAACTGTTAGAAAAAAGGGGGCTAGAAAAAAAGTCAGTCGAGCGTCTCTATTGTCAATGGACTGCAATTGTCAATCTTCAAATAATAATATAATAGAAGGATGAGACAAAAGAAGAAAGCGATAACGCTTGGCAATTTTCTAGCGTGAAACAAGAGAAGCGCGCGATCGTGCACCTTCAATTCGATTAATATTTACGCGCTTTTCATGTTACACATTCACACGAACGCGCTATAATTATGATTTTGCTTGTTTAATGTTTAAAATAGAAATAGGAGCTGTACATGAAGCTACGTTTGTAGTATTTAAGATTTGTGAACGTTTTATATTTTCATGCATGAAATACAGTAACCTGATAAAAGTGACGCACAATACGGCATATCGTTACATCTACCCAGCAATGAAAAGAGATTTATGAACAGGAGCATCCTATTTTTTTTTTTATTCTACTTTTATTCTATTGTCATATAATTTACGAGGCATGAAGACAGAATTGTCGCAGTTGTTGACATTTATTTTTAACACTTCAACATAGTTATTTCCAAAATTCTTTTCCTAACAATAATAATTCTTTTCTGGATATATTTTCTATACTATATGTAATAGAATAGTGTATGAGAGTATATACAATAGATAAATTATAACCAAATTTTCATATTGCATATTACATTCATATACATGACTTTTACGAAAGTTCTTTTTTTAATAACTTTTCAGCACTCGTAAATTATATGATCTTACTTTATATGCGTTATATAATAATGGGCATTACACTAAATAACTTACGGCACATAAATCCTTGTATTGGAAATATATTTCCGAAGATGTATATTAATGATTTTTGTTTCTCATTCATGATGATTTATATGAAAACGTGCGAAGACGTGCGCTGAGATTTATATAAATTTCACTTGACTGCTCCACTATTTTTTCGGAGAAAATTGTAATTTGGTAAAACAGATGTCAATTCCAATATTTCACATGCTGAAGTCGCTCTTTGATCGCTGCTTTCATTTGTTAATTATCTTTAACCACAATTTACAAGTAATTTTTGTCTTGTAAAATATCTTTGTAGCAGGCTTACTATCTTTTATCTTTTGTAGTATTGCTTTTTAATGAAAATCGGAATTTATTACACCTTAACAATTTTATGTGATGTACAAATGATGCCTTGGTAAGTTATAGAAAGATTAAATATTTCTAAGAAATTATATCAAATTACATGAGGACAAAAGGTTATTGGTTTTATAAATGAGAATACATTATTATTTGGAAATTAGTATTACACACACATGCGGATAGAAATATTAAACAAATATTGTACGTCCATTAAGAATGTGAAGTTGATTGAATCCAAGTTGCTACTTGATTATTTCTTGCATACGTGTTCCATTGATAAGTAACTCTGAAAGTTCAAGATTATTTTCTAAAAATAACTTCGTCATACATATGCAGCAGCATTTTAAATGATATTGCTTGAGTCTTGACTACCTTATCAGCCAGATTACAAAAGACACAAAGAGACGCGAAAAATTTTACGAAATTTGGAAAAATTGGATATTCGCTACAAATCTTCAGCAAATTTTAATTATGTGTAAAACAATATTTAAAAAAAAATTTCTTTTAAAATCGTTTTAAAATTTAATCTTTATAAAAGGAGTATTGTAGAAGCATTAACAGCGACGTAAATTTATAAATTCTAGGTTTATGTGCTCAACAAGAGGACAGAACAAGTATAAGGTGAAAAGCGACTTAGATTGCTAACAATTTATTATTAATTATTATATTATTTTTTATAGATATTAAAATAACTTGAAATTATTCACATTACACTACATTATTATGTAAAACATGAAATATTATAATATAGTAAGTTATATATGTGCCCGTTATTATATAATGTAATGGATTTTCGAGCATGCTGCTTAATTTTTCTTGACATTGCCTTCTCGAGCACAAATAACATGGGAACATTATACATCTGCATTAAACTCTTAGGAGAGTAACAAAGGCAATAAGAAGAAAGGAAAACTTGAAAAAATAAAACCAATTCTCGTAAATAAAGACGAGCCATCAATCATTGTGGCTGAATTAAATCCCTCACAACCTCCCTTGGCAGAGGTTAACCATTTTGACCTTATTCATCCAAAGGATGACCTTGAACTCGTACGGAGTCAAAGTGTGAGTGATTGTCATTTGCAGAATGTCTTGCACCACTTGCATATTTCCTGCACATTGCCCTTTCTACTTTATATATTTTTTTATTTAGTAGATAAAAGTATGATATTATATCAACTTCTTTTTAAATTTAAAATATTGATTAAAATTGTTTTTAAAAAATTTTAAGAAATTGTTATCATATCTGCCATTACGCTATTTATTTTTTTTTCCGCTGCTTGATTTCTTTCATTTCTATCATCTGGGAAAATTATGAAAGTGCATGAAAGAATGTACATATTTATTAAACATTTATCAAAAGTTCTCGACTAACAGGAATCATATGATTGGATTTATGATACATTAACAATTGCGCAAATAAAGATTAATGTTTAGACATTGACAATATGATTTTCATATCGTCATTATAATTAACGTAGATACTAACTTTTATGAAAAAAAATTCCATCTTTTTTTATTTTAATGCTATAACAATGTGTCTAATAATATCATATAATACGTGTCTACTGCGTACATAATAGAGGGAGAATCTTCAGCAGATTAACCAAATTGAGACGATGGAGAAAGTCAACAAGTCGCCAAAGGATACTCCAACCAAATCGAAGAAAAATAATAAGGATGCTGCGAAGAAGAGAGACGAGAATGCTAAGGATGAGAAACAGGACACTGTTACTTATACTAATGCCTCATCTGCCAATAAAGACGCTATGAAGGAAGTTTCGAGGGAAGTAAAGGAGCTGAAGGAAATCTCAATTAAGGAAGTGAAGGAAGTCGTCAAGGAGGTAGTTCAACAGTTACCAAACAAGGAACCCAAAAAGACGAAAAAAAAGAATGACATTTTATCCCAAATCGGTATGTCATTGTTTGTAGAAAGATATAATTTACTTATTTGTGATTCGATCGAATAAATGACAAGAGCACGAGTCTCTAGCGCTTGAAGATGATACAAATCTGCATGTGGTTCTTACAGAGAGCAAATCAATATATTTCTAACCTGTTATGACATTCTATAGCCTGCAATTTAATTGATTGGAAATACGACCTCATTTCTCTTTGTACTGCGATCTGTCAGTTTTTATTTTTACAGCTTATGCTAAGAGATTTAATAATGATATATATTATATGTTTTATTTTTTTTTTTTAAATATACTGTAAATATATTAGTCTATTTAAATGAATTGACAGACTTCAATACAGTTACATGATAATGAAATTGTGATTATATCGCATATAAGAAAGTTGGTCGATAATATATAATATTTATATAGAATATAATTTTTTCTAAAAATAAATTATATTGTAAATATTATAATTTAAATTTTTTTAAATGTCTAATAAAGTTCGTATAAGTTATGTGAAGCATCTGACCAAAGCAAAGTCAGGCAAATTCCTTTGAAGTGCTTTGGAATGTGGTTGAGGTAGGATCACTTCCCCCTCCACACACATACATACACACATACAAAGGTCAATGTCCGTGCACTTAGTACCGGTAGCCCTGCAATACGAGCAGTGATTTCAAATCCTTATTTTATTTCTATTGTATTGAAACAATAGTAATAATCTGTAAGGATTATTTTAGTTAATGTGAACATAAACATAAAAATTACATTAAAAGTGTGTATATATGTTTTTATATTAATTAATATTTCAAGAATTTAGTAACTTTATCAGTTTTAATAATAGTAATAATAATAAATAAATATATGAGGTTTTTATCGCAAAGTATGCAAATTTTTTAAATAAAAAATTTCAACGTTTAATTTCAATACTTCTGATATTTTTAACATAATTTTTTTTTTTCAGATGGGGATGCTATTAATGTTGAATTACTGATGCTATGTGTTCAAAAGGCAGAGCTTAGTCGATCTGAAATACAGATCCTTACAAATCAGCTCTTGAATAAACAGCAAGACAATCCGTTGGAGCATTCAGAGTGGACGGAAGGTCGCGCTGACCCCGTTATTAAGCTGAAAAAACAATTGGCGGAAAAAGAGAAAGCATTGACCGACGAGCATGAGGCAAGCGTGGCCTTCCAGAACAAGTTGAAAGAGTTGCGAGCTGAATTTAATATGGACAGATCTAGACTGTTAGCGAGCATTCGACAACTCGAGGAATCGTTGAACGCCAAGATCACGGAGACTCAAACGTTGCACACCCGAATGCAGCACATTTTGGAGAGCCACGTCGCGGAGAAGCAAGGCTTCGCTAGGCAGATCGAACAACTGCAGACCAAAGTGAACGAGGACGCGACTATTATTCACAAATTACAAGAGGATCAGGGACAGACTCAGGGCCACTTGCAGCAGGAGTTGATGGCGCAGCGGAAGCAAATGGAAGTGCAGTTTGCTCAGATGCGCGACAATGAGAACGCATTGAAATCGCAATTGGCCCAGAAACACGTGGAGATGCAGGAGCTGCAGAATGAGCTGCAAGCGACCTGCGAGAGCAGCACCGCGGAGATAGAGATGTTACGTCAGCAATTGGGAATAATGCAAGGCCAATTGATGCACTCGGAAGGACAATTACAGCATTTCAAGGAGGCAAACGATCGACTGCAAGATGTTGCTAGGCAACTCGAGGTGAGAATCATGATCCCTTGTTGATACTCTTAAGTAAGCTCTTACGTTCATTTCTATCAGCGTAGATTAAGTTTAATCTCGGTTTAGCTTAATTTCTATCCTCTTCTAGTTCGAAAAATTAGAAAAAAGATAGAGAGTAAGTTGAATTGAGAGATTTAAAGTTAATTTACAATGGTAGAAATACTCATTAGCCACTTTACAATCAATATATTGAGTCTTTTCTTGATAATCTCTAGGAATCTCATCGTGCGCACGCCGATTTAGATCATAGATTGAAAAGCGCCCATCGTCACGAGCAGGAACTGCAGAAGCAAGTGAACTCGCTGCAGGCGGAATTGAATCACGCGAAAAACGAAGCCAACGAAACGCCTACCTTGAAGCTAGAACTTAGCAAGACTCAAACGGAATTAATGAAATTGAAGTCAGAGCTGTCAGCCACGATGAATGAAGCTAAATCGGAAGCGGCCGAAATTATAGCCTTGAAAAACGCATTGAGTAACAAAGAGGACGAGCTGAAGAGATCGCAGGACAAATTTTATTCCGTGCAAAACGATTTGCAGCAATCCGGCCTGCAAGTTACGCGTATGGAATCCGAATTGAATTCTGTACAAAAGAAATTGGATATTCTGAACATCGATTTTGAAAAGACGGAATGCAATTTGAAAGAAGCGAAGAACGACACGAACAAGTATCAAAATCAGATATTTGCAATGCAGGAAAAATTGGCGAACTCACAGATGGAATTGGTTATGGCTCATGACCAGCTTAGGAAGTCCAATGAAAGAACGAGTGAGTTTAAAGCTTTGCAAACCGAATTAAATAGACTGCAGAGTAATGAGAAGAAGACGGGAGAGGAGCAGTTTCGAATTATAAAACTGCAGGAAGAAAATGATAGACTGCGTACTGAGGTACTTATTTAGTCATCTTCAGTCCTCGAAGTTTTCTAACGATTGTATGTTGCGTGATATAAAAAATTATTAATGTTAAAATATGAGATATTAAATATACAATGGGATTTTTAAGAATTAAAGAAAATATGTCTTACATTTGTACAGCTTGCGAGTGCTTTGGAGAAACAAAGAGAGCTTCAACAACAGCACGAGAACAAAATCCATACGGATGTAGTATTAGCCACTGCTGAACCTCAACATGCCAATTCGTATGTATATTTACATGTATAACTATATAAATTTTTTGTATTTAACGCAATGCTTAATTTTTAACGTAACATATTGTGACAATCTCTCCGTTGAGTATTGCTACGTTTTACTTGATTAATTTTTGTGAAATATTTATTCTTGAAAATTTAGAGAGGAGAAAGCTTTACTAGAAAAATTAAAAATCGAGTTAACGCACAAGGAAGAGGAGTTTAATAAGATAAATGAACGGTTACACGTATTAGAAAGTGATGCGAACAAACACCAATATTGTATTAGACAATTAGAAGAAGCTTTGGAGGTCCAAAAATCTAAAAATAATGTAAGTTCTTTGTGTAGTAAATATTTTTTTATTTGATGAAGTATATTTATCTGAATCTAATTGCTATTTTTTCTGTATAACATTAATACATTTTTACTGCTTTCGTTACAAATTTCTTTTCTCATACAAATCAATATATTCTGATTTTTTATATATACTATTCTATAAACATTATAATGATATAATAATGTGTATGTAGAAAATTTATTTCTCTCTATTTTTCTGTTTTTTCTGTAGGAGCTACGCACAAAGAACTGGAAAGTAATGGAAGCTCTTTCTGCTGCTGAGTCGCGTGCCAAATCCAATGATGAAAAGAGCGTTACAGTAAGCTTTGCTACAATTCTTAATTAATATGATCAGCTAATATTGAAATATGGATTCTCGAAACTAGTTATCGTTGTCATTTCATATTTCTTCGCTGGCAATCTTTAATTTCCCAATTATTCTCTTATAAAAATATACGTGAGATAAGGATTGACGAGATTAAGTCCGCAATCTATCGACTATGGGTCGATTGCTTTTACACAGAGCGTTATGATATTATTAGCTAAATAGCACAATTTTAACGATAAACTAATAGCACATATTAGCTAAATAGCACAAACTTAATGATAAATTAATAGCATATATTAGCTAAATGGCACAAAACTTGATGATAAACTAATAGCATATAATGTATCATATTGTAATATATTAGGATTTAATTACATTGTTATTATTATTCTTCATTTTAATTACGATTATTAAACATTAACTATGCTTACTGAATATTGACTAAATATTTAATTATTTATTAATATCAAAAAATCCAATATTTTCTAATAATATTTTGTATATAATGTATTTTTAATAATATTTTTTTATTTAATCAGGAAGTAACACAAAAAATTAAGGAGGAGCAAGAAGAAACAACTAAAGCCTTTCTTCAGAGGATATTTCCAGAGATCAAAGTCTCCGAGAAGACACACGAACAATGGCTCAAATCTTTTGAAGATAAAATATGTACTGTTCTAAGTGAATTAAAACAGAAAAACACAGATCAGACAAATCCAGATTTGGAGAGACAGAACAAAAACCTGCAAGGCATGGTTTCACATTACAAACAAATTATCTACGATACGGTGAGTATTTCATTATATTTCATAATATTTTAATGAAATACAAAGATATCATTCTTTTATTTAAATATTTGTTTTTTTAGGAAGGTATGCTTAATAAATTACAAAGTTATATAGAATCCGAAGAAACAAGGTGGCAGTCGCAACTTCGGCAGAAGGAGAATGAAGTGGCGAACCTTAGAGTAGAACTTAATGATATGCAAGCCAAATTAATCTCAAGTGAAGAGGTAAGGGTTATAGAAATTTATAGAAATCTTTTTTCTATAAACAGATTTTCCAAATTAAATTATTGGTTGGTATATTTGTTGATCCCCTCAGAGTTACAATTTTCAATATATAACTATTTTGTGCATACCAATAATATCACTACACAACAAAAGTAACACCTTGTTTATACACAAAAATTATTTTATTTAAACGTTCCACGCTATCGTTCGCTACTATATTTATACCTTTTTGACACAGTCTCTATTTTTTGCTCTTTTTATCTTAATCCTCTCGACTCTACTAAAGACACAACTCACTGTTCTGGAATTTTGCTTCCATTGCTATTTCTTTTCTAAGGAGGGGACAAATATATGTAGCGAATAGGAAGGGAAAAATGTCGAATGGAATAGCAGAATAGAAAAGATAGTAACACAGGTTAGGATGTTAGAGAGAAATGTAAAAGCAAGGCTCAAGAAAAGGAAAAAAATAAATATATAATAGTTATAAAGATCTAGGAGAGGAAAAAAGACACAAGAAAAATGAAATGTTCAGATATATTTATTCCGTCTCATGCTACGATTCTTTTTTCTAGTCTAAACAGAGGGCGAAAGAGTTGGAAGCTCGTGCAGGAGAGTACGATTGTAGTGCAATATTACTTAAATCCGCGCAGAAAGCTGTCGCATCTGGAGAACTAGATGGCAACAAGTTTGTTACTTTAGAACAATTACAAGAGGTAGATTCTCACCGCTGATACTGTATTACATTTTTCTTATTAATTATTTCATATATTTATTTTCTTATTAATTCTATATTGAAATATATTAGTATGTGATAAAGAATATCGATGCTATTAAAATATCAAATCAGATAATTTTCAATGCGTAACCCGTTTTTTGTTATTGGTTGTTTCAGGAGAAGGCCCGATTGTCGCAGGAATTAGAAGTAGAATGTAATAAGAGGGCGACATTGGACGCCGAAGTTACGAAATTGCGTTCTCTTGTTGAAACTAGTGAGGCGAGTTTAGTATACGAGAAAAATCTTGTCACGCAACTTCAACAAGAAGTGTCCCAACTCAAGGTATTTTTTCTAGTATATTATTTTTTTTACAGCGATACATATGTAGAATTAAGTAAATCTACTTAACGTATTACTATATTGTTTCCAGAATGAAATTTGTGGCGGCTGTAGCAGTTCAGAGCAATCTATATTAAACGGTCCACCCACATCGGATTCTCTTCAATCCGAGGTTAGTATCTATTAATAAGGATTTAGCTCTTATCTGTACGGTGTGCCTTCTCTATTGGAAGTACTTCATAGCTTTTGTTATATTTATAACAAGAAGTTCTGTATGATGAAAGCATTAGACAATGTACAATGCTGCAAAACACTTATATACTAGTCATGAGAGATCTGCCAATATGATATGATACTTTACTAATCATGAAAGATCTGCCAGTAATTACTAATCAATAACCGCCTGATTGTGATTTATTATTCTTTTGTATATGTATTAACTGAATGAACTCAAGCAATCGCGCACACTCATATAGATGTTGTTACAAAATTGATAAAACTCTTGACGAAAACACGGTAAATTGTATCTTGATATACATATAAGTGTATTTTAAATTTTGATATAACTTGAATATTTAAACAAAAAAAGATGTGATAACAAATTTATTTTAAATTTTGCACTAATTGTAGATTAAAAAAGAAATTTAAATTTATTTTAAACTAATTCTTGTAATTTATATTAGAACTCATATTGAGTTATATTGATTTTTATAACATCTATATATTACAAAAAAATTTATCTTTTATATGTTACATAACAATAGATGAAATAATTTTTAAATGAAATAATTTTCTAAAAAGTTGTGTGTAAAATTACATTATGTATAATTATTATATATAATGTATTACTACGTATAATTATATATAATGTATTATTATATTCTATAATACATATATATAATTATTGAAAGCAACATAAGGTTAATTTATCAATTATCGAAAATCTTGGAATACAGTTATGCGAAATCATAATGTATTGCTCAATTGTAAATTTGTTTGAATGATGTTATCTGTAGATGTCACACATGTTTAAATTTAATAAAATATTTAATATAATCATCATCAGAGTGAATTATATTCCAAGCTGCAACTTTTACGTTACATACTGCAGCCTTTTATCAAATATAATAATTTGCTAATATTTCTGAAGTATATTATTTAGGAAAGAGTATATTGTTCTCGCGTAATAAAAATAGCTCTCTTCTTATTTGAAAAATATTCAAATACATTTCAATTATATATCTGTATTAGTAATTTGATTACTGTGTTTCAAGATTACAAGATTATTAGATAATTTATTGGAACGGCAATTTGGCAAATTTTTACCGGATCATCATATTCATATTATTATATGGACGAACGATCGCGACTCGAGAAATTGCCGTTTCCATAATTGATTCCTTTAAGCCAGTCAGATAATAATATATCTGGAATGCAGCGTCCTATAGCGTCTCAGGCTCTGATAACTGCGTTAGAAAATACTCTGCTCAAGAATACGGAGTTTGCAAACTGTTCCATTACGAAACCTGTCAATTTGGTCAGTCAGTCTGAACAAGAAATTGAGAACAACTCCCTTACTACAAAATACTCCTCCAAATCTTGTCATATGACAGATCACAACACACAGGCTAATTGGAACCCAATGATTGGCCAGCAACATAAAAAACACAAGAAAAAGAGGAAGGTAAACTTACAAGTCTGAAAAAGAAAAAAGTGTTACTGGCTCGATTACTGTAATAGGTGCACTTCAGTTGATTATTGAAATGTGAGACGTATTTGTTAGGACTCAATATTACAAAGAATATTACAGATTCCTTCATATATAACTTTTTTAGCGTACATCTTTCACAATATTTTTGAAAATGATATGTATTGTTTTAATGAATATAAAATGTTTTAGTATTAAAGATCTATTTTAATTTTAAAGTATATATTTTGTATTTTATCTGTCTAATTAATATCTAAATATATATTAATTATGACATGAATAACGCTTATGTGTTTATCTCTTGATACTGAATATGTTTAAATAAGATAGGAATACGTGATAGGAGTGAAAAAAAATTAATGGAACAGCGCGGTGAAATATAAAATTTCAAAAAATATATTTTTTATCGTAAACATTTTCTAACGCGTTTTTTTTAATGCAAAATGCGTATACTTTTCAATTTTGACAGATATTCTTTGTGATAAAACTGAGTCCTTCGTTATTATTTCTTTGCTGTTATTAAAGTAATATTATATATTTTTGGTAGTTTGTATCTTGAAGCAGTACTTTATGGTGTAGAAAATGATTTTGTATACTCCAACATATATTTCTTTATTATTGTGACTATCGGTGAGAAGGTGAAACTACGCGTCCGTACATTTAAGTGGCATGTGATATAGTACAGTAATCATAAAATTAGATGAAGATTGATCTTTGCATTTGTATAGATCTTTTCATATATAGACATACCGCGTTATAGAATAATACACGTTGTAAATCTACTTTTATATGTATATCTCCATTTACTGCACACAGACAAACTTGCAGAATATGTGAGATTCATATTTTTATGGACATACTAGTGCTATGCTATTTTAGCATTTTGTCCAAGTATACGAGAATTAAATTTCTCGCTTCATACAAAAATATTATCATTCTTTCGTCATTCCTTAAAAAATAGTACTTTTATTTTACAATTAATTAGACATTACAGTCGCTATAAACATGACAACATAAAAACAAAACATATTAACGATCATATATATTTGCAGCATTTTTTTATATACATATATCTAAAACCTCTAGCATTCTAAAATTCGTAATACTATGGCAGAAGTGTTTAGTTTGACACAACTTTTTTATATTTTAAGCGACGAAAACATAATTTCTAATTGTAAAATGATAATGTTAAGTTTGTAAGTCGTATAGGAGTTAAGTTTTAACTGATGGGCCATTCCTGTCTTTCTTAAATCTTTGGTGGTAAGCCAAATTGGAAATCTTGTTTGTACCAATAATCTTTGTCCCAGTGTTTGTTCGTTATAAAGTTTCGACATATATAATGTCGATACTCAAAACAACGACAGGTTACCGCAGTTGTATGATTCATAAGAAAAAGAAATAGCTTTGTTGTTCAAATGCTTGCTCTCTGTAATCAATAACAATTTAACTGTTTTGATTGTTTCGACAGTCCACTAAGAAAACCATGGCAAAACGGCGCAGATTCGCAGGTATGCAAATCTAAAGATGAGATACTGAAATGTTTCCTCCTAGCCTTTCGGAAAATTCTAATTAGTAGAACTACCGCTAGCAATTCATGTGTCAAGTCTTATCATGTATAATTTATTTTATCGACAATTAGTTTCTCATCACACACATTCTGTTGTGGCAACTTAAACTTTTACATTTGTATTTATATAAATGCACTATTTTCAATTTTTGTATTTGCATATTATTTTTTTTTCTTTTATCTCATAAAATGCAGCAAGAAATATTTCCGATAATTTGGAATAGGCTAATCGTTATCGTTAATCATACTGGTGTACTAGTTATTGGTAGAGAATACGTATTTTTTTAATTGTCATTTAGTGAGAAAATGTCACATTCAGAATCGTACGAACTTTATAAATTAGTTTTTTTTATGTAAGTAATTATATAAGAAATAATTGACTAATACAATCAGACGATTTCATAAATCATAAATATTCTAAAAAGTACGCAAATGAAGTAGAAATATATATTGAAAAGTACATTATTTTTTGAAAAATAAAAAAAAACATGATAGAACAAATTTACATGATACATATAAAACTTTATTTAAAATATGTCACATCGTAAATGTAGGCCATATTAATAGTACTGTTGGACTATTACTACTTGGAACATATACTTAGAGCAAACCTTTTTCGATGTTTGATGTTGGTGTGAAAAGTGTTATCATGTTTGTATATATTCTAAGATGAAAATTCAATACAATGTAATTACTTATAATTATAACTAATTATAATTAGTTTTTTTATTTGAATTTTTCCTATTTACAAAATACAATTATGATCTAATCTTGTAAATACATACGAATGTTAGAACTATATAAAATATCGTGAGAATAATTCCCACGATATTTTATATTTCCTACATAGTATTATTAGCTAATTGTAAAATTTTATAATATATTCACATTATATTTGGATATGTTCCAAAAACATGCACAGTGGCTATTGTTGGCTTTATATTTTGTTTTGTGACTATATATTTTTACGAATATTTTGCATCTTGTGTATTTCTCGGCACGATATGGCTAGAAAAATAATTTCTATTCCCATCTTTAACTCCTGCCGATTATGAAACTTACGAAACTGGCGGTTAAATCCATTATACGTACATAATGTATATATTAATTTTTGAACAAGGTATATAGTTGATACGCCTTGCTTCTGCAAAAGAGTAAACATTATAAGACTATATTGATTAGTGTACAGAGGAATATATGTAGATTTAGAAAAATAATGACGAATGTACATGGTATAGAGATCCAACAAAAATGCATATAGATACACAAGGAAATTTTTATCAGCACAAACACTGGGGTAAAGGGTACACTGCGCGAGAAAAATGATGTTTATTCAACTGGTTAAACTGTAATTAATAATTTTTTTATAACGATATTTAACATGATTTTATTGTTCTCATACATCATTCATTATTTCATTTTTTTTTTTTATAAATTTTACAAGCTTAAAGTATTAATATAACGATGCGATAGCATCAAAGGCTACAATAAATGTTCGCCTTTCTTAGTGTTTTATACATGTATGTTTCATATGTTGTTTTCTAATTGAAATATTTTTCGTCGCTTAATCGCAATATATCTCTTGATAAATGAAAAAACTAATCAGAATCTGTGGAATGCTACTAACAATGACGATGACAGTGTCGAATACGTATATATGTTAATCTAAAAATGTCAGATTTAATCGATGTAGATAATATAGAGGCTACCGTATTTTTATAATTTTTCGATTAATCTTGTTTTTTGCTTCTTTTATTAGTTACCCGTCAAGTGTGCTATTATAAGTATTGTGTATATATGTTGTTTGTAGGCTGCTTTTTATATAGCATAAAATGTGTAGATTAGACTTTCTATCATTTACTTATTGTTCTATATCTTTTGTAATTGCTTTTTAATATAAGGTAATGAATTTTTTTTATTTATTTACTTAACACAGTAACAACAACACAACGTGTTGTTGTTGTGGTTATTATTATTATTGTGTAAGTTTCTTTTTAATTTAAGATAATTGATTTTAGATGGATGTATTTTGATGTAATTGATTGCAGCATGATTAGAAAGCATGTATTTTTGTTTATCTGTTAGATTTAAAAGAATGAAAGACAGCGCAGGAAATATCTTATTATTAATAAGAAATATTTAGTAGACTATAAATAATTTCTTATTAATAATTTACATTGTGTTATGCGCTATCTTCCACAAATTTCATATTGTTCTTCCTGATTGTTTTATTAGATAGATATTCAAATTTTGGAAAATTTAATTGATATGCAATATTTTACAATTTATTATCTACAATATTTGTTTTGACTTATTATCTATCATCGATTATACGTGCATACGGAAGAATACATATGTAGGATATTTATATGTGCTATTGTCTCATATCTATTTTGGTATATTACCAATTTAGTATGTTACCAAGAATTGCCAACACACTTTATTCATTCTATTAATGTAATCTTTCAGGGTGGTTCAGGAAAAAAATAACTTCAAAAAATAAACTACGCTAGTGCAGTGCGAATACTGGTGGTTAAAAAGATGGGATGCGCAAATGCAAAAAGAAAGCGTACGCAGCATTGCTATATAGGTATAAATGGCATACTTTGCTACTCAGAAGACTAATATAAAGTGAAAATATTACGGATAATGTTTATTGTAAAAAAATATCATATTTTATTATGTGGAGAAAAATATAAATAATTAAACTCGTAGCGATTATATGGAAGAAAATCTTGAAATACTTGCGTATGTGATGGTTATATAATTTATAATTATAAATAGCTATGTACACGATGTAAAGATTATCAAAATTGTGCATTACCAAATTATGGATTACCGATATTATTTATAGAATCTATGAACTGTAACAATTATAAATTTTAATTCTGTTATGAGACTTAAGTGTTATAGGAACATAACACTTAAGAGATGTGTTCTTGTAACGCAAGAAAAATTGTATAATTAATTAATTAATTAATCAATGGATTCCATGACTTCATGATACATTATGTGTATGATATTGATTCTGATATTATTTCCAACAGTCACGCTGTTACTAATGTTTAACATCTTTTTTTCTTCTTTTTTTATCATTGACGCATGGACCAGAAATTATATATATATATAAATATACTATATATATATGCATAATATGATATAAAATATGCATCGCATTTTTTGTTATCGATAGCGAACACAAATACACCAAATTTATAAAAAACGCGATCTTCATGTTGTCCCATTGTATACAAGTTCAATTTTGTTATTCGTTTTACGTGCAATAATTATGAAAGTGAGGCAAGAGTTTTGAACGCGAGCCAGTCTTATACAATATATACAAATGTTATTTGAAATTTATTGCGCCCAACAATTGTACTGAAAGCAAGTACTGCATACATGAGACGAATTTGAATTTGCGTATAGTTCACATAGAAACTTTTATTATCAGATCTAAGAATATATTTAACAAGTTCAAGTTAACAAACAATTTTAGGGGCATTTAAAAATATTTGATGCTTGCAATTATTTATATTCACATTTAATTACGCTTCAAACAGATGTTTATTAATTGGACAAGCCAAAATGTTCCATATTGTTATTCGAGTAGCTTTGCTATTCTACTCTAGTAGAACTTCTTTAAAGATGATTTTTAAATACTTGCTTGCATGTATTAAATATTTAATTAAAAATACTGTGTTAGACGTTTAATTGTACACTTAAAAGAGTTCTTTGTTCACCTGTGTAATCGATTGGTTGCATAAAAAAAGGATAGGATTATTGTACTGAGTTTTGTAAGAGGCATGTATGTTTAGTACACTGCGTACTTATTTACCGTTTTGTATCTAGAAAGCATATTCATAGTTAATAAAAGTTTACTGTTTTACTTGATGATAAATATTATGCAATTTCGAAAAAGTTATTCACTTCATTTATCAATTAACAGTTTGGATAACACCTTTAAATAAATATCATTATTTATTGATGCTGATACATATATATGTACATACATGTTACACAGCTAAAGTATAAAATGTGATATACAGTTTGATTCATCTATCAGACGAGTTTAAGTAATTTATTCTAAAAGTTGCACTTTCAGATCAAATTTATTAACACCTTCGGCCTAACTACCTTTTTTTTTTACATTTTGAATTACCTTGAATCACCTATCTTGGATCATCAATAAACTATACATTATTTTACAAACGATAACACTTAATGGCAAGATACTATAACTATTAACTGTTTTCACAATATCGTATATAGAGCTAGCTAAATTTCCGCAATTTCAGTCAATTTTCCTAATTGACTTTGTCCTCTATTACCTGCATCTTAACAACGAGCAATTGAAGTAATTTTCCAAGGCAAAGTATCGCCGGTTTCAACGAAGAGTTAGACGTCTATTTAGCGACTTGCTAAGATGCAGGTGATAAAAAAAAAGACAATGGATATTTTTCACTCGAAGAATAACCAAAAATTACAGATATTTAGTAGCTTCATTAGACACATAGTATAAAACAATTACTACATTTATATACAGTACATTTCTGAGCAATACACTTCCTTTTTAAGATAGACATCGTATAGGTAACTAAAAGAATGCGATAGATACAATATTTTTCACATTTAGCTGTTTTGTAGTTCTATATATTTGTTGTCTTATTCTATTCAGGTAAATACAAACGTCCAAAACATAAAAAAATATTGTACACTCATCTACAATGTTTGATATAGAATGTGTTGTTGGAAAATATATTTTTACCTCAATTAATATCAAGATTGTAAAAACTACATTTACAATCGTTCATTCAATAGCGATAATGCAAACCACATTTCAGTTATCACAGGTCGAAATTTTCTTGTTCGACAGCAATCTTCTTCGTTTCCTTAATTCAGCATCGTCTGCAGAAATCCAAGAATATAGCTACCTAAATCCTCATCCTGATTAGTCCATGAAACGTAAACACTTTTTTGATCATCCTCATCTCCTTCCACCTTTACCAAAACGGACTCGACCGAGATAGAACCGTCCGTCAACTGAACCGTCCATCCAGACAGTCTTTCTTTCAACGGCTGCAATAGCTTTAAGGTAGTAGCGTGCGCTGGGCCGGGATCTCTTACTTGCACGGTGGATGTGAATCTGACCACGTGTTTCGTGATTCCTACAGCCTTTGCAACCTGATAAAATACAAGAATAATAATGCACGATAGAATAACAATAGTTATTTCAAGTAGAAGGAATAAACAATTATTATACGGAAGATATTACCTCATCCGCATCTATAAGACAAACACCGTCTTCTCTCAACATCAGGACGCTGTGAAGCAGCCTCCTCCTCTTCGGGTCGGGCGGCAAGGCCGAGTATCTCTTCGCTTCGGCTTTCAGCAGCGCCAGGGAAGCGTCCACGGGGACCTTGGACGTGGTCGTGATAATGCAAGTTTCGCCGTTCGCAGGATTGTAGCAACTGACGCCGAATTCCTGCTTGATCTTCTCCTTCAGATATTCCATCTTGGCGAACTCCCCGTGCACCAGCATGACGTTCTTCGGCTCACAATACTGTATCAACTGCATTATCCCCTTCGCGTCGGCGTGTGCGGAGAAGGACATGTACTCGACGGCCATCTTCACCTCGACGATCTGCCGATTCTCGAACTCGATTCTCCGCGAGCCGTTCAGGACCTTGTGCCCCACGGTGCCTTGCACGCAGAAACCCGGCATGATAACCATGTTGGACTCGTTGGGCGCCCATTTCTTAAAGATCTGGAGGGAGAGACCGGCGTGTAACATGCCCGGCGTGGCGAACACCACCATCGCACCTGGATTATCGATATACGCTTTATCAAACGGTTTTATGTGCTTAAAGTCAAACATATTCCGTTGTACGAACGTTTTCTTAATTTTCTGATTGGTCCAGGTGATAAACATTTTATAGTAATTATTGGCCTTCTCGGTTAAACCAAGCGCGAAATAAACCGGTACTTTCAGATTCATTCTTTCCCAGTACGTTTCCAAGAGTATGCACAGTTCTTGGGCGCGGCCGAGGGCGAATACGGGAATCAACACCTTCCCGCCTCTGTCGATGCATTCGTGTACCTGAAAAAGAAAAACGCGTTTTTTTTTTTTTTTTTTTTTTTTCAAAACCGTTCAAGAGAGATTTATTAGATTATCAATGAGTAACGAGCCGAAAAACAGCGTACTTTCTTGAGAAAATCTCTTTCCCTGCACCTCTTCGAATCTCTGATCGTCGTCGCGTACGTCGACTCCGAGATCAGCAAGTCCGGCCTGCACTTGTCTATCCACGCGGCGCCCAAGTGCCGATCCGGCGTCATGTTGTAGTCGCCCGTGTACACGATAGACTGCGATCCCACGCGAACCCAAAACATCGCCGCGCCGAGAACGTGCCCGGCGTAGTACGCCTTTATCTCCAACTCCGGATCGACCATGACGGACTGATGAAGCGTAACGGCGATGACTTTCTTCATGCAGTCCTTTATCATCTGCGACGTGAAGAAGTTGCTCTCGCCCTTGCGCTCGACCGCAACCTTCCTCATGTCCTCGAGCAAGATTGGCGCGATAGCCTTGGTCGGATGTGTCATGTAAATCGGTCCGGTGTAGCCTACCTGTGTTTTTCAACAATTAAAACGGAGATGTACAATAAGAGGAATCCCCAGGCGGAAATGATCGTCGAAATGCAGAAACATCTATAGAAACATCGAATCCATTTCTGTGCCTGGACGAGCAAGGAAAATGTGACGACAAAAAGTTGTCGTAAAATAAAATTCCTGACGTTACCATCTCTGTGAAGTACGGAAGGGCGCCGCAGTGGTCCAAGTGAAAATGCGAGATAATGACGCAGTCGATGTAATTGGTCGCCGGACCCTCCGGCACTATGTAGGAAAAGTCCGGGAAGCGTCTCTCGTCGTTGAATCCCATGTGCATTCCGCAGTCCAGCATGATGTTCTTGCCGCCCATGGTGACGAGGATGCAACTGCGCCCGACGTCCTGCCCGGCGCCGAGCGGGGTAACTTTTATGTCCGGCATTTCTGAAAAGATCAACGAAAACGTATCGAGTAATCCTTAAAACATAAACAAAGTATTACTTTTATATTGCATATTTATAAGAGAGTGTAAGATACCCTTGTCATCAATTGAGTGGAAAACGAATGCGAACTTATATGAACATAAATACGGACGCGTCTCGATGCTTACATTTTACTGTGACATAAACAAATGTGTTTTTTTGTTTTGTTTTGAGAAGGTTACCCTCTTAAAACAGAAACTGACAGTCTGTACTATCAGCTATCAAAATATAACGATATATCGTTACATCATTTTGTACTTTGAGAGATATCGATAGCTGACTAATCTAGATTAAGAATTTGCTATCGCTTCCTTTAATTATAATCTTGCTGCAATATAAATAAAGGAGATTAGGATTAGGTTAGGCTTAGCGGAAGACAGCGTTACTCGCGTTACAACGTACCGGTTCGTAGGCGCACGATAAAATGAAACGGTCACAGAGATCGCGGCTGGGAATCGACGAGCGGGAATTGAACGTAAGCGTGTGTCGAAAATCGATTACGTTCTCCTCCAGAAATTGTCGGGAGCACGTAAACAACAGTTTCCCTCCTTGCTTTGACGGATACCTGCCACTCCGAAAATACAAAAGACGAAGTCCTCCGAGAGGCAATCTGGACAACTTGACAGAAAAAAAATAAATAAATAAATTTTCCCAGATAAAAATCCTAACCTCAAAGGTTATCTGCGCGCGTTCTGCAACTGAGAGAGAAACTTCCTGCAACTGCGCGCGATATGAACTCTCATCAGTTTGTTGATTTGTCCCAATTATTTATTTTGTAAATACTTATTTGTCACGTAAACAAGGGCATCCGCAGGATTTTTTCTAAAGGGGGGCATGATCCAAATTTTTAATACGAAATACCGCGAGGAGCAAATGTCCAAACGTTGTGTACTTGTGTGGTATTTTAGCTCTCTCATATTTTATAAACATATTTATTATTTCAATTATTTGTAAAAAAAATAAGAGAGCCAATTTTGAATTTTTTTATCCTCGTTTGATTTCAGGGAAAGGCAAGTGCCCCTCCTTGCTTCCTCCTGTGGACGCCCATGCACGTAAACAAACATTTTACAATCAACGTTATATGTGAAATAATAGCATTTTAGTCGAATTGTTTTTAATGATTATTTTAAATTACATAATGCATCTGTATATGTAGGCGTTATGAATAATATAAATTTGTGTATCAATTTCGTTTATATTTCGTCAGGTTATTTCGGGAAAATGTTACAAAGGGAAAGCATTCCAAATTTATGTGATTCATTACTATAATATATTGTTCATTGCCCAACTTTAAATCAACGGGATTTTAGCCTTTTTTTTTAACGCAGATATAAAGCACTATATGCACATCTTCAGGATTGCTGGATACAATTTCCAAGTGTTAATCCAATTTCTTTAAGCAAGCTCGGAATGTTTCAACATTGTATTTGATATGACATTTATGCAATACAAAGATGATACAATAATGCAGAAACATTATATATATACATTTGCAATTTGATCAATCATCTACTGATGTCATTCGGCAATTATTTTTCAAACCTTGCGCTATTCTATTACTTATATTTTCAGGCCAAAGAAACACATCTCATTGGCTACCAGTCAGACACGATAGAGTGAAAAAATACAAAATTTTTAATTTTTGTGAAGCTATTTAATTTAAAAACTATTTTATATAAAGCGTTATTTTGAGTCTTCAAATTTTTAACGAAAAAAAAAGGTGTCCAGCGAGACAATTATAGTGCTTTACAATTCTTCGTCCAGATTGAAGTCCTCCTCGGGAAAATCTCCGACCTTTATGTTCACTGGCTTCACAAATCCACCATATTTTGGGGCGCATTCGAAATATCTCTTACCATCGACGCTGTTGACAATACAAGCGTAAGAAAAGAAAATATATTTATATATTCAAGAATCGTAATTAAATAGAATTAAATATATTTACCTTCCATCATTTTTACCAAGAGGCTCATCGTATTTAACACCGATCCACCAGCCTTCTTTAAATTCAGTTTTTCCTAGTAATAACATATAACACATTTATGCACATAATAAAAGTATTTTTAGTTAAAAAAAAAAATTGCAAACGTATTAGAAGTCTACCAACCAACATATAAGACTGTAGCTCTTCGCTTCGGCTGATTTGGAACGGACACTTCGCAACGGTCTCCAACTTTGCACATACCAGCTAAGCGTTCCTCTGCTTCTTCCTCCAGTTTCTTCTCTTCTGCCCTTCTCTTCATGTCTTCCTCATTGTACTTTCCCAATTTATTCTTTTCCAGGAATGCCTTGACGGTGTCTGTCCGATAAATAAAATATATATTTCACTCGTCATTTGACTTGATGTAGCTAAATATGAAAGTCTCACCTGTCTTTTTAGCATACTCTTCCTCGGATATCTCGAACTTCTCCACCTGATTTAAATCTTCTGTGGTGCACGAGAAATTATCGATAACCTGCAATTTCCTTACATTTCATTCGCAATCACAATTTCGTGCTGTATAGATGTTTGAAAGATACAGTCTCGTAAGACACGAGCTTTCGTGTTGTGTCTGCATATTTACGTGTATCCTCATCCCATCGTCGATCGGATATGATCCCAAGAGCCGCTGTCCCTCCTGCAATCTACAAACGAGCTTGTCATTCTTGTCGTAAACTTCCACAGTCATCGTAGCCGGACTACCACCAGTGAGAAGCTCCAGTTTGCCCTACAATTCCACCTTGTAAATTTCTACACGTATGTAAACAGGCGAAGAAATTTAAATTACCTTAAACTCATTGATGGTTATACCCTTTTGAAATCGGCGTTCCACCCAACACGACTCCTGACCGGAGTTCGTGATTGATAAATTCACAAAATCGGACGTGATCACGCTGCACGAGCTCATTTTACTTCAATTCCACACACGATATTCAGCCACTACAGAGAGAATAGAGGTTAGACAATTTCAATCGTTCGCGAATTTCTTACGCTACATTTCCGAATGCAATCATAATAAATTTATTAATCTATGCAACCCCATTTCTTTGCATAGTCATATAAAATAAATTCACACCTAGCGTTTTGTACTCGCGTCAATTGCAGAACATGTAAACAATAAGCAACACTGACAGAAGTGTCAGAAGTGACAGAACCTTCGCCAGCGAAATGTTATGGCGCCATTTAAAGCAGTACATGCATGTATGCATTAATCGCTGGCTTTAGGTCTGTTCCAATCAGCTGATTCAGCTGCATTTTCTATTCTTATTTATTTTTCTTTTTTCTAAAACATGAATGTGAATGATCTATTTTCTTTTAAATACGAAGCACGGGAAAGCACTCAAAAATTGCGTTGACAAGCGTTATACAAAAAATTAATGATTTTTAAATAAAATTTACAGATTTATATTATAGTTATGTAATTCTATTATAATATTTATAAACTTCTTCATAATTTTTTTTTATATATTATTATACGAAAGTTCAAAAAATAAAGATAAACTATATAACAGCAGAAAGTTATTTCAAATTATTTCAATATATAATTCGCTTTAGAAGTTAATTAATAACAATAATACAATTAATATTAATCGTAAATATATGTGTGTATGTCTGAAACAAAATATATCTGATTGTGTCTGAGAGAAAAATAAAAGAGGACAGGAGAAAGAAAAAACGTAGAAAAATATTTATTTATAAAATATTATTTCATGATCAAAGAATTAGATTAAATAAATATCTTACATTTGAGATTATAACAGCAGTTAGTTGTATGGATAATTTCAGGGATCGAAAATAATATAATGTCCTTGCCAAATATTCATTGATGTTATTTATTTGAAAGTTATGTTTCAGCTGATCAGATTAATACGCGTTTTTGTTGTATTAATATATGCATAATCGCAAATAAACTATCTGTGTTTTGCTATGCCAACTTTAGCTTTATACATGAATTAATTTCGAAACGAATGAGAAATATACAAAACGAAATATAACTGAAACTGTTGTGGCTGTACAATTATGGACAGAAGGATTGTCTCATTTTCTTTGAGTCATTTCGCATTCTACAATACTCGTGTCTACGTCCTTTAACGCGATCCTTTTACGCCATCCAAAACTCGTAGGAAAACAAAAGAAAAATTACAATCTTTCTGTCGTTAAAACAATGAAATTATCATCGCACCGTCTTGCTTGTACAGCGAAAAAAATATTTTCATATCTATATATAGCACATTTATATCTATATTAGTCCGTTTATATTTCAACCGAGGACAACAGAATTATAATTATTATACAAGATAAAGCTGCCTCTTTCTCTCATCTTGTATTCTAAAAGAGAAATATGCTTTGAAGAAACTTCAGTTGAGATTTTGCAGTATTATTTTTTTAATAACAAAGCACAGATTACAGAAAGGTCATTAGGAAGCTTTTTTTCACCATTCTTTTCTCTTTTTACGAATAGCGAGAAACTCTGGATTAAGAATGAAACTGTATTGTGACAAAACTAAGCAATCTAATGCATTGAAAAATTGTTTGAAAATATAATAATTATGTATTATATTATAAATATAATACATAATTATTGTATTTCCAGACAATTCTCCAATGCATTAAATTGCCTGACAGGCTGTGCGTCATTAAAAAAATATCACAAAATCTCAACTCAAATTTCTTAAAAGCATATTTCTCTTCTAGAATACAAAACGAGAGAAAGTAATGGCTTTATGTTGTATAATTATAATTATAATTCTGTTGTCTTCGAATAAAATGTTAACAAATCAATATAGATACACATGTGCTATATATAGATGCCAGACAGGCAATTTAATGCATTGGAGAATTCTTTGGAAATATAATAATCATGTATTATATTTATAATATTATTACAATACAGTTTCATCAGTTAATCGGGAGTTTCTCGCTAGCATTGGCCATCTTCCAACTTGTCGAAGCATCAATGACGCCTCTCCTCTTACAAAAGTTTACCCTTCAGTATCTCATAAACCATTTTGTTTCTAAAGTACGGCATGTCCTCCTGCGTGAACGTTATCTTCCTATTTGCGCAGATATACTCGGCGAACATGCACGAGAACACGCCACAATCGCTGCCGTTCATCTGCTGCGGAATGTTCTTGGCGGACTGCAATTTCCAGTCGCTCATATCGTAAGACTGCTTCTTCTTGTCCAGACTCTCGTCCAGCAGATATTGTTTCAGCGCCGCCAAACATTTCGGGTTGCTGCTGCCCATACTGTCGTAATAGCGAATCGACTTATCCCGGAAATCTATTATCGACATGCACCAGTGAATGTCCAGATGTATCGGCACAACCACGAGATCCTGCGCGAATATGTCCACCTTTCTCGTCCACCGTTTCAGGGACGAGTGGCCGCCCGAGAGAAGCTTCGGATAGAAGAACGTGTTCATCGCGTGCACGTTCGGATACTTGTCCGAGGACGTGCCACGGGCGATCAACAGATTCATGTAGAAGTTTATCACCTCGTCGTTCAGCCAGTTCAAGTCGGCCAGCGTGGCGAGGTCCTTCCGCGTGATCCTCAGGCCGAAACCCTCCGCGAGAACCTCGCCCGCGGGACACGGTAAGAGGGCGCATCTCACCTCCCGCAGCATCTCGTCGGTCAGCGTCGGCAGCGCCGGCTCCTCCGGCTCCTCTCTGTCGTCGAGAACGGCCAGGTACAACTTCATAGAACGCGCCAGCTGTTCCTCCAGCGCCGCCTCGCGCGCGTATCTGTTGTGCTTCGACAGGACGCACGTCATCTTCTTCAGTTCCTCAGCCTCCCTGTGCCGTTGCTCGATCCGCTCGTTGTACCTCTTGGTCACCTGTGGGATGAAGTCTTGCCTCATGACGGGTTTCGCGGCCAGCTCGTCGCGCAGCGAGTTCGTCGCGGCGACCTTGACGGGCACTCTCGGCGTGGAGGGTCTCACGAAATTATTACTGGTACTCGGTCTGTCGAGTCGTGTGACAAATCGGCTGGACTGCTGATACTTCGCGACACCCTTGTCGCTGTAGCTCGAGGTAGGAACTTTTTCTCTGTCTACTCTAGCGCAGTTTGACATACAATCCCTGTGACGGAACGACGCTGCCATTATCTTAGACGTGCTAGACGATTGAATTTTGTTGCTGGCCTTTATTTCCGAATGCTTCTCCAGGTCAATCACCTCTACGGATTTGCGCGAAGATGGATACTCCGTACGCTTGTCCGTAAACACCTGTATCCTATTTGGCAACAGATTTTGCAGCATCTCCTCGTACTGATATCTCTCCTTCAATTGATTAGTTTTGGACAGTGTGGGGGACGCGTGACAGGTGTCCAGCATTCTGTGCTTGTGATGGAGAAAGTGCTCCACAGCCGATTTATTGTGATGCAGCATGAAGCAGGTGGATTTACAAGAGGGAGGAGGCATAACTTTGTAGCATTCGTAGGGCTGCGATTGCTTCTTGTGAGTACCATTCAACTGCGCACACGGTTTCATCGGCGTGCACTTCTGCTCGCCCACGTAAACGATGTCGTCGTCATCGCTGTCGTCAATAGTTAAATACTGTTGTTCCATCTTACGCGCTATGTTATAGCCGGACTTAAATTTCTTGGGTGTTATATAGTCTTCCTCGAAGGAATCTTCGGAGGCTTTCCGTTTATGAGAGCCTTCATCCACCCATCCGAAGATTTTCTTCAAAAAGTCAAATATCATGGACATTGTTATATATATATATATACTCTTTTACTGTCCATTCAACAACATGTTACTATTGTAGCTTAATCTAAAAAAAACAAAAAAATCAGAAATTCTTATGTATAATGTTGTACTTGATATAATTTTTGTATATATCTTATGCAAATATTTCAAAAATAGAAACTATGCAGTGTGAAGCTACGTGAACTATAGACACCAAGCTCTGTATTTCCTATATTTAACTTTACACTAATAATATGCTCATCCAGTTCAAAGTTTTAATGTATCTTATATGCAAATATTTCAAAGATGGAAACTGTGCATTGTGAAGCTATGTGAACTGTAGACAAGCTCTGTATTTCCCATATTTACACTAATAATAATATGCTCATCCAGTTCAAAGTTTTATTTAGCTCATTTAAAGCTCGAGTTTATTAAGATATCATACAAACTTGAATTTATATGAAAGCGGAAGTAAAAACTTCATTTAGCAATAAACATGAGGACAATTTTAAACATGCGCCTGTGCTTCTACACTTGTATAGTTTCAAAATAGGATTACTTACATTGGGTTTTCACATCAGAATATTAGGCAAAAGCATGAATAAATGTCGATCTATATCCTGTTTGATCAAAGTAACCAAGTCTGCTGGGAGCTGATAATAAGAATTCAACCTAAAAGAAGAAATCATTGTTATTAAACTATGTAATTGTACCGCACAAAATTATCACTCATTAAAATAATAAGTTCGCTTGTACTATTCTGCACAAATATTGAGAATAAGGACTGAAATAAAAGACACATAACGTTGGAGCAAAAGAGGAAGGGCAGAGAATACAGAAAATTCAGCCGCAAAGAACAAATTTTACACACAAAGTTGTTCAAGTATACTAAACGGATTATATACATCTTGACCGTGAAAGATAACCGACGTGAATATCATCGCATTTTTGGCGGAATATACGTTGGAAATCCCATCGGCCGAGGCGCTTCTATCACACGCTCGCATTTTAATGCCTTCGTGCGTAAAGAAAACGCCTCTCGGAAAGCATTAGAAGCTAAATTCTGCAACGACGGATTCTCTTAACAGTTCCGTTATCGTTACAGTGTCGTTGCGCGGGTATAATGTACGGTAAAAAAAAAACGCCGCCACGGCATAACGATACACCGTAGCGACAACGAGCCGCCGTTAATAAGAGCACGGAACCTCGATACGCAGCGCGGAGCAGCAACGCGGACGGTCGGGATTCCACTTGTGAATATAAATCTCGATCGTGCAAATGTATGCGCGTAACGGCGCGTGACGTGAGGCTGGTTAACCTCGTCGCGCGGCGTGCGACGCACACCCGTTTCTCACCCGGTCGGCCCGACGATGCCTCGCGGTGGGGTTCGCTGCGCCGAATTCGCCGCAAGTGCCGGGGCGGGGGGCTAGCCCGGACGGCGCCTTCTCGTCCGGCCTCTCAAACGTGCGACTCGTCGTTCATGGAACATTTAATTTGGCATATATCGCGATAGTACTGGCAAACGTACATACAATCGGTGGCGTACTATTCTCCGTATATCGCGCTCGGGTACCATGGGCATTCGCGGTTCGCACGGAACAGGCTGACCAACACTCTCCTGCCCGCGCGTTTTCACGAGGACGACTCGAGCGCCCTCTCTCCCGTTCTGCCCGCACGCGACAGCCCCGGATCTGATCGGTTTCGGAACAGTGAGAGAAAACGAGGGATAATATACCGACGATAGGTGCTATTTAAAGACCGACACCCTTAAGCCCGTATCAGACCCCGCGCGCAGCTCTCGCAGGCACATAGCCTCACTTTGTTTACGTTTACAGCTCGTGCATTTGACTGTTTTCGCGTTGAAAAGACGCGATAGGATGTTTATGTATAAGTACAATTCTTAAGCTCTTAAAGAACGAATTTGTAAAACTGCAGGATCTCAGAAGAATGACATAATTACGATTGATAATACGTTACGTGTTCATAAAAGCTGAGATTTCTTCGAAGATACCGGTATTCTCTTAACTATGCTCCAATAAGTTTTTGTTTAAGTAAAGCAGTACTGTTAAAGCACATCGAGGTTTACTGTGTTTGAAGGTACATTCCCAAATAAATATCGTTTTTAGTAATGACAGCGACTCACAAAATTTTGTATTTGATTCACCTCAATATTCTTACAGCTGATAAAAGGATTTTTTACTTCACGAGAGATATAAATAGAATAGAAAATATATTAGGGAAACAAGATTCGGTCTCATGAGTGATAAGCAAGGATTTATTGCTGTACATGTTGGTATGTTATTGTTTAGGGATTACTTGTAATTAATACTTGTATGTAAATTATTGTGACATTATTATATATTTTTTTTTGTTGATAGGTGCTGGGCAGCACTCGGCGTCGCTCAAAGAAAAGTATCAAAAGTTATGTCGCGACGCATGCAAAGTGGTAAAATTTTCAAGTGATTTAATTAGCCATCATACCTAATTTTCTGTAAATTCTATGGTTTTTTTTTATCCATCAGGGAGCTCAAAGTTTGAAATCCAATGGCAATGCATTAGACGCGGTGGTAGAGGCAGTGGTGGTATTGGAAGATTCTCCTATGACAAACGCCGGATTTGGATCGAATCTCACGTTGAACGGCACAGTGGAATGCGACGCGAGTGTAATGGACGGTAGCAGTTTGCAATACGGTGCGGTCGGTGCGGTTAGCGGAATAAAAAATCCTGTCTTGTTGGCAAAGCGCTTGTGCGAGCAGCAGTCCATTAAGTTTGCATATGGCAGAATTCCTCCTAGGTGCTACTCCAGTTTTTAAATGTTTATGATCGTTGTACCAAGATTGTTATTAATTTTTAATTATTTTTTATCCTTTTTCTATTAGCTTCTTGGTTGGAAATGGTGCGCATATTTGGGCACACGAGATGGGCATACAGATTTTACCACCAGAACAGTTAATATCAAGTAGGTAGAATTAGCATAAGAAATGTTTGCTAAGTTTTTAACAAGCTACTAGAAATTGATTTTTGATTTCTGTGTGTACATTGCAATATCTATTATCTTTTATTTATCTAATGTATTTTTTTTTCCAGTGAGAGCTCAAAAGATATACAAACATTATAAAAGAAAAGTAGAAAGCTGCAGTGTAGAGGTTCAAAAGGTATAAAGAATTTATCTCATGTACATTTTGATTTTATTTCAAGTAAAACTTTTATTATTTAATTTTTATTATTTATTATGTTGTAGTGTGCTAAGAAAAGGATGGATACAGTAGGTGCCATATGTGTTGACGACAGTGGAAACATCGCTGCAGCTTGCTCGAGCGGTGGTATAATTTTGAAATATCCAGGAAGAGTTGGGCAGGTACGAATCACATTTGTCACATCGATATATAATCGATTTATATAACTAAAAATTTTTTTTGTACATAAATATTGTATATAATTTACGTTTTCATATATAGTTTACCAAACTTTTTTGTTCTGATCCTAGGCTGGAGTGTGGGGCTGCGGTACCTGGGCTTGCAAGGACACTTCGTATTCAGTAGGCACCAGCACTTCGGGTTGTGGGGAACATCTTGTGCGCACCTCGTTAGCGCGCACGGTTGCGGAAGCTATTTCAGACACAACTTGCCCGACCACGAGTTTGCATCGTGCGATGAACACAGATTTTATCGGTGTGTAGCAGATAATTACCCGGCGGTCAATGAAAGCGATGACAATCCGTACTTTTTCTTTAGATTCGAAATTTCTTTACGGACTTGAACAAAAGCTGGGTGGTGTCATCGCTATACGGTACTCGCCACAGGAGAGATTAGGCGATTTTCTCTGGAGCCATTCTACAAATTCTATGATAATAGGTTACATGAATACATGTGAACGTGCACCAATGGTACATATTCAATTTTTTTGGCTTGATATAAAGTTTATATACATGTTTATGAATATATAAAAGATAGCTTTATTTCTAAGTTAGAAGCATTAATTTCTAAAATTATTAATATGAAATGTTAGATTTGTTAAAAAAATCTATTTTTTTGTATTTGTAGAGTTACATGTCGGCCTTACCATCACATGAAGTAGGTAAGAAAGCTATTGTCGAAGGCGTGTGCTTTAAATTAACGGAACTCGATAAAGACTGAGATGATTATGTGTGTCATCTCATATGTAATAAGCTTGTAAGAGTTGTTTATACGGAGTGTTTGCTGAAATCTCGTAAAAAAATGTTCTGAGAATTCTCGGATTTTTCACGTTTTTTTAATCAAAAATTTTACGTAAGATTAGAAAATTTTTTAGTGTGATTTTGAAATAATTTGGAGTGTAAGTAACGCAAATAAACTATAAAATCCGTTTTTTAATATACTGTAAAATATAAATACTAAAAAACAGATATCGTCAATAAAGATGCGTCCTAAAATTAATATCTTCGATGATAATACCTGTGCTTATGTGAGATCTTCATGTTTTTCGTATTGATTCTTCGTCTTGTGTTTGCAAGAGTACGTGATCCTTTGAAACATAAAGTGAAAGGATGTGTGTGAGAGAGAAAGAGACAGGAACTATGTAGAGCACCTCTTATAGCGATGATAAAAACGGCCTCAGATAATGACCATCTCAACAAATATTTCTTCAGGTCATTGCTCATGTTCACTAGACTTTTTTCTCTTGTTTTGGTGAATATTGTTATGAAAATTTGTGAATTTTTGGAATTTAACTCTTAACACCCTGTATAGCATCGGTGAATTTTCTTCTGTAACGTTACGTTCTTTACCTATTTTTTTTTTTATAAAAAGTCGCGAGATGTACGAAAATATATGTAGATGCGTATTATACTTATATATTGCTAATTTTCAACATGTATTATCAAGATAGAACGATAAAACAAGCAAGTTTCCAGAAAGAGACAATTTAAATTTAAAAGTAAAATTCCAAAAATTTTCCCGAACCGATAAAATTCCACAAAAATCCTTGACTTTTAAGAAATTATCTGAAAATTCCGGGTTTTCCAGGTTTTTTCAGTAAACACTCTGTTATAGCGCCTAAAATACTTTATATACAAAATTTTTTATACAAAATTCACGTTAATTTCATGAAATACATAAATGCTGCCAAATTGATTAATTTTCCATAATCACAATTTTCTACAGTAAACATATTTTCCTAAATTTTATATTACTGTGTACGTTATTGTAAATTTTATAGTTAACTTATATAAATACAATGATCGTGCATCACTATTAACATGTACAATAATTCCCGACAACAATTTCAAATCATCTTTGGTTTACCATCATAAACAAATATTTCACCTATTATATAATACATATAAAAAATAAATACACATATATATTACAATTAATAGACTTTAGGTAGAATTAAGAAGATATCGAGGTCAGTTATCAAATGGAATTATAGATAATTAAGTATATAATCATTTTCAATAAGATTTGCAATTTGTTAGTATTCAAAGTCGAATAAAGTAAATCGAATTCAAATTATCATCACGAATACAGAATTTAATTTGAAGAGTTTTAAAAGATTTTATAATTAGCGTTATCAAAATAGTATTTTTATAGACTGTTGCATTATTTACATTTTCATATATTATGAAAAAAAATAGCAAATCTAATTCAACTTTGAATAAATCCAATTGTAGTATAATTGGACATTTTATATACCTACATTTTAATTGATAGATATGTACATAAATTCTCGATAAACTAATCTTTTTCGACCTTTTTAATGAATTGCCGATGATCTACCAGGATCGTAGTACTGATTCATATTAAATATATAAACTGACTTCCATGATTATTTTAAAAAATTATACGCAAATTATAAACTGCCTATATCATTGAATCGCTTCAATTTCTCTGGGAATACGTCTTTGAAGAGAACCGGATCTGCGCGAAATTCAACCGATTCCAATGGCATAGTTCCATAAATAGAAGAGAATTTATTTATACACTGTGTACGTTCCACCATGTGCGTCAAATCCGCGGATAGCATTTCAGTATTGGTACACTCGGGGCATCGGAATTTCTTCTTTGGTGTCACCTATAAGATTTTATACAATTTTCACAAAATATCAATAAATTGGTTGAAAATCTTGCTTACCTTTAACGGGGCTTTTCCAGTAATATTCGCTACCAGAAAATTCATTGCGATGTCCTCGCAATTCATGTGCTCATCGACCCACTCCTTTATGTCACCAGGCATCGCTGTAGTGTACATGTAATTCCAATACTGAAAGGCATTGAAAAAGATATAAAGTTTTACGCTATAACTGTACAATTCAATAATACTCGTACAAGGTGGTATAATTTACTTTGTTAGATTAATACATTGTTAGATTTATACATTCTTGATGAGGACAACAGGAGAGGATGTTAGTTTATTTTCTAGAAAAAAATAAAATCCAAGGATTCTTATAATAACGTGCTTGTGGCCTGAAATGTCAAATAAAAGTGTTATAAAATAACAAAACGCCTAATCTCTTGAGTGGAGGACAGCATAAACGTTCTGTAGCGCTTACTTTATGATGAAAAGCTGCCCCTGTTAAAACCATGGAAATACTATTCGTCCATTCGCTTTCATACTTCCAACAATTGGTACCATTATCCCACATATGTAAGCGTGATGGAAACCCGACGATTCTATCCGGAAATTCCCTCCATACCTAAAAGTTTATCAATTATATGTTTTAATTTAATTTGTTATTACTAGAAATGTACAACAATCAAATGTATGTAAAATCGGGCAAATAAAGTTTCGGCTTCATTCGCGTTCGCGAAGGATTGCTGTGTAATTTAAAGTTGAAATAAATTGAAGATAATTTACGCTCCAATATCAGCGTGGGACTCTTATTTGCCTGATTTTACTTACATTTGATTGTTGTACTATTTCGAAAGTCTGATACATTTTTAGATGTTTGATGTAAATGTGATATATGTAAGTAATTTTTTGGTTTCTACGTAAATATTTTAAGTATACCTCATAAGCGAATTCTACTTCGTCAGCAGTCAACATGATAATATCGTCATCTATCGATAGCACTGCTTCGGTCTCAATCTCATCATACGGATAAAATCGGTTGGATAATTTATTTTCTTTCGTTTGCATAACTTTTAATGGCTTACTCACTTTTGGCCATCTAGCAGCTGTAACATTAAATTAGTTAAATTAATGACGTGTAATGTACTTGAAGCTTAGTAGATAATCAAGACGAATATGTCAAAAGCTCTTACAATGTGGCGGATCTTTTTGCTGATTATTCCAAATTACCAGAACTTTGGACAGACTCGGTACCTTCACAAGCTTATTAATCAATAGGAACAATAACTCCAGTCTGTCGTACGTTAATATTACGGCAGTGAAGCCACGTGTTTTCGGAGCAGTCACTGGCAGAAAGAGTGGCGAGGGCTTTCCCTGCGTGAAAGGAACAATTTGCTTGAGACACACACGTGAAAGATTGAGCTTTCTTGTTTTAGTAATTATATCCACCTTGTAGGGCGATATGTTCCAATATGTGTAATCTCGTGTTAAATGCGGAAAAACGCGATCCGCGAGTATTTCTAACGAAGTTTCAGTAATCTTCTCCATCGAACTGAAATAACGATCGTAGAGCCACGCGTTCTGTTCTTGCATCTCCGTAATACGTTGATGAGATATCTTTTTCAGCAGTTGTATTGTCAATAAAATGTCAACTTCACGTATGAAAACAGCAGCCCTGACGATAAGAGAGAATCATAAGTAAAATGACTTGTATATTAAGACATGATATATCAGATATTAATTCGAACGCATCTTACTTGGTCCAATCGATCACATCATGAAATGGCATCATTAGAGAATCGGCTATGATCACAGGTATACAACCGGCGGCCATCGCATCCAAAAGCGCACTTTGAGCAAGCCGAGCGCCGCGGATTATCAGACAAAACGTGGCTGTCTAAGAGGAAGTAAAGTACTTTCAATTATGCAAATATCAATAAGGGAATAAAATATTTTTGCACTGCGATTTTTTATTACTTGCAGGCTGTCGGGATACTTGTATATATCCTCTCCTACACAACGTATTGTATTGTTCATTGGATTGAAGTGCAGACACGGGCCCAGCACCAAAATGTCTTTTGAATATGTCATTTTCATTTCCATTAAATCTTGCTCAAAGGCAGTATTGATGTTGATTTGCGAAGACATCGCTAGCCATGTTCTGAAACGCAAAATAATTTACTATTACCACTGCATTTGTGCAAAACAATCGAAAAAGAAAAATTATGCAAGACATTACCTCGCATTACTGTGATTCGTTTTCAGATTATTTACGAGTGGACTGTAGACCGGTAAACTGATGTCGAAGCTAGGCCTGTACGTCAACGACGTCATTCCAGCACCTGCGATCATCGCTCTTCCCACCGATACGTCGATGACGGTGCTGTAATCTGGCACACTTCCAGGCACCATGTTGAAGATCAAGTGATTCTCCCCCTTGTTCCAGAAAGGTAGCGTTCTCAGTGCCTGGGAGACCTCCTGCAGCCTCAGTCTGTTCTGATTGAGAGTGTCGATGGTAGGGATAAAAATGCACGCTTCGTACGGATTGGGAGTGTAAAATTTACTGCTGACAATAGCGCTCAGAATCTGATAGAATTCCTTCGTCATCTGACCGGTTATCGGTCTACCCGTGGGGTCCAGGTACACCTTGAGCGGATAGACGTACACCAGAAGCTTGCTCCCCTGGCTGCCGCATCGGTACACGTTGAAACAGGTGAAATACGTGCAGGAAGAATTGGTCGCGTCCGCAGTACTCGCGTCGGCGGGTAACGTGTGAACTGGCAGGGCATTTATGTCGCTCAGCGTTACGGGAATATGCTCGGAGTGCTTCTGCGTGTTGCCGAATTTGAAAATATGGTACACCGAGATCAGTACAATGAACAATGTGAATGACAGTAAACATATCACAAAGATATTGTGATAGTGATACGAGACTCGGTTGGTTTTGTGCAATATACGTGCCGGTAATACCATCTTCTTCTCCCTCCCTTCTCACGAGATATCGCAAAATATACTGCTCTACAGGAAAGTCTCATTCAAACACGTAAATCCTCCCTGTAACAACTTCAAAGCGTCAGCACAAGATGCATGTGATGAGAGCTGTCATCTGTCACGTATAAGTTTTCATCTCGGTGTTGCAGATAATTAAAATAATTCTCATTGTTAAGATCGCACTCCTCCTCTGACTTTTGATTCACGAAATTGTCATTAGACTCGTCGGTGCAAAATTAAAAAATACTTGTGATTTAATTACGGCGTGTATAAATCTCCTCCGTCATGATTTTCTTCAGCTCTACTCAGCTGCGGTAGTGAGGTTATATTTGTAAAATCAGTCAGATCTGCTCGTTTCGTCTGCGCCCGCTGCACCACTCTGCACTCAACGTAAATGTCTATTCACGATGCAGCACACAGCAATCCTGAAAATGAACGGAAATTTTTTAATTAAAAAATCTTTAAAGTCTTCAGAAATTCGACTCCTATATAATCTGGCCGCAGGAAGGAATTGCTATTCGTGGACCTTCTATATGCATTGAATCGTTTTGGAAGAAGTTCCTCGAAATTTCTTTCTACGGCCCGACGGAAATAATTGTTGCATGATAATATAATCAACAAAAAAGAGGAAGCTCCAAATGCCGACGGGAGACAGTCGCCGACGGGAGGCGTGATTTCTCGAAAAATGCGTTTATACAGTAGCAGTTTCACGTGTCCTTTAATACGAAGCAGCATATATGCTTTCTCGAGAAGACCTTATTAATAAAACATTCTAGAACATTATATTGTTACATAATAATTAACGAACGATTTTCAGTGTTTATTATGTTTTATCGTAAGAAATAAGTTGCCGCGCCTTATACGTAAATTACTTATTTGTCATAATAAATTTGGAGTAATTTTAATGTTACATTATAATTAAATAATATATTATTTAAACTATAGTTTAAATTTAATTACGCATCTGTGGAGATGCACAAAGGATCATAAAAGATCGGAAGAGCACACGT